GTCTATTTAATTAACCGATTGCCAGCGATAGCCACAGGAAAGGCTCCCTTCAAACTACTCTTTGGCAAGCAGCCAACCTACAGCCACCTGCGCGTCTTTGGTTGCTTAGTCTACTATAAGAACATTCATGCTCACTTGGATAAGTTCGAGGAAAGTGGACAAGCAGGCACGTTCTTAGGATACGCGTCGAGTCAAAATGGTTATAGAATTTATGACCTAAAGATGCGTCGAGTTGTCACGTCCTGTGATGTTCAGTTTCATGAGAACGTCTTCCCATTTCAAGGAGAGGTTAGCAGGGAGTTTCACGGGATACCTCGGTCAGTGTTTAGTGCCACGGACGACGAAAATGCCGCTGTGGACTTCAACCCATCGCCGCAACCAGCGCCACTTGAAACACCAGGTGCCGAGAACATGATCGAGGACTCCAACACGCCGTCATCCCAAGAGGAGCAGCCTGCAATGTCCTCTTCCCCTGCTGGTGCTGATTCCACCGAAGGTGTCATTGATGAAAGTACTGGACACTACTTATGCCACCTGAAGGACGAGGATCATGTTCACAACACTGCTATTTTGGAGACATAAAACCAAAAAGTTAGTGGTAAAGGTGTTTTTAGAAGAAACCCAACCAGGAGATCGGTGGTAAAGATGTTTTTAACATGAATTAGAGCATCAGTTGAATAAGCTTGCAATTCTTCTGAGATGCAGCTATACTACAATAAGTTGCTACGGATGGAGTAACATCTTTGCTACCAGCCTTGGAAATGATAATTAGATGTTTGGGTTTCTTCATTTCACTCTTTATTTGTTGCTTGAAAGCATTATTTCTATTGGTAACCAAGTTAGAACTGCTTCTGATGTTGTTCTGCATATTCTTGCTGTTTCATGTGGGCATTCAACGGTAACCTTCTAAATAAATTCATTTGTTTTTTAAATTGCAAGAGTTGGTTAGTCGTTGGCCATCAGCTGCATATCGAAATACGATTCCCACTAGATTGGTTGGTTGTTGTTCATGTTCTGGCAGCTGAGCATCAGGTGGCCGAGGAAATCAGGAGCTATGGAGGGGTCTTTACTATTAGCGGAAAGACCAACCAGGATTATGCAGGAGATCAATGGAGCGGCCTCGCTGAAGAAGCTGTGTGTGTCATATTGTGTGATTGTGACTTTGTTGGCTGTATTTTTTTTGTTTTTGTTTTTCATTGCCTTCATAGTTAGTGAATGATGTAGAATGAATGTACTTATGTTAGTGGCTTATATAGAATGGATGTAAAGGCACTTAGCTGCCATTGTGGTTTGTCATTGTGTAAACAGGGATTCGATTCATTGTAATGACATCTTTGTCTCTCCATAATAGGGATGACAATTTGAACCTGCCCCGCCGGGTATTACCCGACCAGCATTAGCGTCGGGCGGGGCATGGGTATCAACTTTCGACCCGCCCCGCCCCATTCTTAGCCCGTTCTAGGTCAATTTTTTACCCCATCCATTCATATATCTCCTATTTAGGCTTTTATTCAACTAGTTAGACTTGATCTTTCAACTAAATAGACTCAATTACATATTATTATCACTATTATTCATTCATCAAGTCCCCCCCCCCCTTTGTATTATCATAAAAAGTAAAATTGTGCGTGTATTTTTCTCAAATAACAAGAGTGGGTCGACCCGCCCCGCCCCGTACCCACGCGGGTATTACCAGCCCCACCCCGTACTAGAGTGGGGCGGGGCATGGGTATTGAGGTACCCGCCCCGCCTCGACCCATTGCCATCACTACTCCATAATTGTGTCATTCATTTTGGTTAGACTCTTGTATGAAAATTGAATTGTGGATAAATGTTGGAATCTTGAATAGCCTAACTTTGTTCTAAGCAGTAACAATGCTAAATGCAATTTGTGTTTGTATTGGAGGAAGGGGAAGAAATGGTTTTTACATCTTCATGCCATACAAGCAAGTATGCTTAATACCTGTCATTCTAAAATCACTCAAGATGGACTATGACATGGCAACATGAAGAACAATCAGGACTTTATGAATAATCAAAAGGGAAAAGGCCATTGAATTAAAGAGAGGTACCATTCTGTAGGATAATAAAAGAAAACAGAAATTACATAATCATCAACCATTTGTTTGGTTCAAAATTAAAGAGAGGTTATGTAAAATCTTTGGTAATGGAAGACTTCAAAATTCTCATAAGCTAACTCTAAAAAAGAGTGGTCGTGCTCTCTTGAGTGCCACTAACACCACTTGCATCTTCTCGATCTGGCCTTGAGCTCACTCCGCTATCAAAGAAGATTGGAGTCGTCACCTTGGCACACACCCAAAACAACTTTTGCCATGCTCTGTTCTTGAATTTCTTCCTCCAATTGCAGTATATATGTCGTGCACGTAGTCGATGCTCCACATATGGGAAGAGTTCAACTATTGCTGGTACTAGCCCCTACAAAAATTCATTTTGGAGTTAATAAAGTAAGCTGAGCGCACTTTACTAACCACACAAACTATTAATAATAGAAAAATCAGCATTATACCTTCATTTGGTCTGAACTGAAAGACCAACCAGCTCCTTCATCAATGCATAAATCGTCTCTCAACTCCTTTAAAAACCAATCCCATGAACTTCTAGACTCAACTTCAACAACTACCCATGCAACAAGGTACATTTGATCATTTGCATCTCTCCCAACTGCAGCAAGTAGCTCTCCCTTGCACAAACTCTTAAGAAAGCAACCATCTAAAGCGACAATCTTCTTGCATCCAACTTTGAAACCTTTCTTCATGGCACCAAAACAAATATACATCTGCTGGAACTTTGGAAGCCCCTCTGGATAGTCTCGATTAACCATGATACAGATAGTTGTGTCCGGGTTAGCTCTCTTCAGTTCTTCCGCATAAGTCCATAGAAGTGCATACTCGTCCTTATAGCATCCTTGAGTCCAGTGCATCACTATCTTCTTAGAACGTGAACATGTCATCCTATTCACGTCATATCTCATCTCTTCTTTAATCGTCTCTCTCATATCCTTCAGCCTCCACTGTGAATGTGCTCTTATCCTCCTATGATACTTCTTTGCAATCACAGCTGGACTGCAGTATTTGTTCTTGAAATGAAGTCCACATCTATGCACCTTTAGTGTTTTGATTCGAAATGCATCGGCTGTTTTACACCATGAAACCAACAATGTGAAAGGACAACCCTTGTACCTACAGACCACCCTTAGCCTCGTTGGATCACTTTTCTTCATCTTCACACCTTTCCTGGCAGCCAAAGCATATTTTCTAATGCCCTCCCTTGTCTGTAAAGATCATTCCAAGCTCAAAGAATGGTGTTTCCAAGTTCGGATCGAATTGTGAAAAGGGACTTCTTCTACGTACTACATGATCAACAACTTCATCCTCCTCATCGGTTCCATCATAGCTCCCATCATCACTGGAGTTAAAACCCTCTTGCCCATCCACTCAGACATGTCTTCTATCAACCTCATCATCAGAGTGATAAGTAACAGGAATTCCTCTATACAACTACTTTTTGCCCTTTTCACCTTCGATAATATCTCTTCCCTATCTGCAATATCCTCATCTAAGACCCAATCTGGATTCAACTCAAACTCGTTGTCGAAATCTACCTTATCTTCTTCATCAAGTTCGACTTCTTCCTCATTTCTAATGTTGCCATTGAATTGCACCTACACGATTAGAAACAAGAAAGAACATTAACATAATAGAAATTATTGCTACAAGCCTACAACCATATTTACACCCCACCAACCATGAATCACAACAGGAAAAAAGCACACCTGTTCTGTATTGTGTACAGTATCAATCGATGGAACCCTTTCCCTATTGTTTGCTGCAACAGAATCATGCATGAATCCAATGCCTCCACCAAATTCATTGTTAATTCCACCATCCATCTTCCTTATTCGTGGTCCTGAAAAGAACTATTACTTAATTTTAACTTTTGTCTCGTTCAACTAAATTAGAGATTAAAAAATAGGGTTTTGGGTTGAGTCGTACCTCAAGTTGTGGGGGATAATAATAACCACTGAAAGTTTGGGAATTGATAGGCAAATGGGAGTTGTGTTATTATGTTCTTCGCTGAACCCACCAATACTGCTTCCCAATATTGCTTCTTCGTCCAACCCACCCGATAGTGCTACTTGAACTTCAACTGATGAATTTCGAGGACGCCGTTAGAGGATGCTGGACGAAGCCGGTAAAGATGGCGTCGTCGCCGATGGTGTGGTCGACCGCGATGATGTTCGCAGGTTACTCTACGGTAGAAGGAAAAGATGAAGGGATTAACAGCATAATCGCTTTCTAATTCAAATGGGGTTTCTTTTAGTTTATTAATTTGTCTGTAATCACTTTCTAATTAAAACTGGATTTATTAATTAGTCAGGGGTAGTTAGGTAACTTCTGATCGCAGTTAACGGTGAGAAAACAGAGTTTTCAACCGAAGGGTAATTTTGTTACATTGTAATATTAGAAGGGCATGTTTGTGCAAAATAATAGTATAGGGGCACGTTTGTTAATTCGCAATAGTAGAGGGGCAAAAATGCTATTAACCCTTTTGAAATCATGTTGTTGTATTCTTTAGGGGTTGTTTGGAGAATATGAGTTTAAATCTACAGATTGTCAACATTCTAAAGATTCTAACTCTTCGGATTGTTGAAAACGGATTTTAAAATGTTTATTGTTTGGTAACTGTGATTGTTAACCTTCAATTTAAATAAAAATTTTATTTTATATTAAATAACATGTTTATCCTTAATAAAAAATTAGAGTGGTTTGAGAAATATTAAAAACTTTGTTGATAAATATATCTCATGTGATAAATAAATAAAAGTAAGAGAAGAACTAGGAGAAAAAAAATCTTATGAATCAAGATATAGAATCTCTCTAATTATGAGAGATTTGATATCCACAGATTTTAGAGATTTGAAATCTCTAAAGCTAGAATCCACAATATAAAAAGGAACAAAAAAACATAACTTTTTACAGGCTAAATTACACGTTTGGTCACTCAAATTACATAAATTTTTCACATTTGCCACCCAAATTATTTTTCTTTCTTATTCACCACTAACTTTATGAATCATTTCACCGTTAGTCACCCGCCGTTATTCTCCGTTAACTCCGTTAATTTTTTGATGACATGGCTAACATAACTGCTGACTGGATTGTAATTTAAAAAAATAAAAAATAAAAAATAAACTTATTCAATCCTCCACGTGTCTCTCCTACAGTCCTACTGCTACTCGTTGCCCTTCCCTCCACCCTCCCCCTCCCTTTTCCCCTTCCATCGCACCCTCCCGCTCCGTCGAAGAAAGTTGATACTCAATCAGTGCTCAAAAGGTAGTTGATCAAATAGCTAGCTGAATCCCCCATACTGTTACCCATAAAGAACCATCGATGTAATTTTGATTGGATTGTTGGAGAGATCTCTGTTTCTCGTCTTCGATTTTCTTTTTCTTTGATTTGTTTGTTGATAAACAGGTTGCAGTCCGAGATGATGGCTTTAATAGTGAGAGGAGAAATCTCGTAATCAAATTTGCAATTGTCAATTGATTGATTTGGTTGGTTTTCGGTTAGCTGATTCAAGAGATCTTGTTATGGTGGGGTTTTTGTCAACAAATGAGTGGAGAAACAGGGATATCCGCATTTCCGGAGGAAGACAACATCTTCTGCTGGAAAGGAACGATCATTGGGAGCAAAGATACAGTCTTTGAAGGAACTGAGTACAAGCTTTCTTTACTCTTTAGCTTTCCCCAACAACTACCCGTTCAAGCCACCAAAGGTGAAGTTCGATCTGATGTGTGTGTTTCTGTTCATTTTGTGTTGAGAGCCAAACATCGGTTCACCGCTCAACACTCAGGCAACAATGAGCTTGTTTGACGGAGTGACGGTGGAGTAGAAGACGACGAAGAGGCGGCCAGATATGAGATCGGGACGAGGTCGAATTTTAGGGAATCGATGCGGACAAAGTTTGTGAAGCATCAACCTCTACAGAATCAGAAGTAGCCGCGACCCTTGATTTATTGGAATGCGGGTAAGTCGGATGGAGCTGAATCGTCAGAGTTGCTCGAGATCGGAAGAGCCCAGCTCGATCGCAGTTTCAGTTAGCTGAAAAGTAAACTTTTCTTTTCTTTTTCATTTTCTATTTTTAATTAATTAATTTTTTAAATTGATATGTCATTAATTTCACGGCCCAGTCAGCAATTCCGTTAGCCATGTCATTAAAAAACTAACGGAGTCTGACGGAGACTAACAGCTAGTGACTAACGGTGAAATGATTCGTAAAGTTGGTGGCGAATAAGAAAGAAAAGTAATTTGGGTGGCAAACATGAAAGATTTATATAATTTGAATGACCAAATGTGTAATTTAACCCTTTTTACAAATTCTACGGATTCAGTAAATTCATGTCCTGAATTCTGTTATCCAAACCACCCTAAGGTGACTTCACTAAAGTATTGCGTTTGCTTTAGATTTCTTTAGAGTTAGTTTTGTTTAGAATTTGTGGGGCTTCTCGATGGAAAATTTTCAAATATTTTCTCATTTTATTTATATCTCGAAAGAAAAGAAAAAAAATGCATCGTGGCTTGAAGGGCGATTTGTTCAGCGCCAAACGTCGTTTTGGTTTCCATTTGTTTTTCCTCGGAGGCCGGTGCCTGAGAAGATAGAACGAGATTACGAGAAATTAAGTAAAAGTCGGTGGTCGGAGAAGTAGAAATCTCAGCAGAGCCGAGAGATCTTTTTTCTTTTCGATTGGAATACCTTACAAAGAGGGGGTTAACGCTAACACCCATCAGCAGCCACACTTCTCAGGGAAACTTCACAGATCCATTTCGAACAAGTGAAGTCCTTGCTGAGGTGGAAGCTAGGGTTGCCAGGGGACGCCTCAGAAGAAGAAGATGGAGGACACGGCCATGTCGTCGCCGTCGGTCGTCAAATCGACGCAGGAGCTAGCGATGGAAGGGCAGAGGCATCTCGAAGATACCATTCAGGCCGCTTTCCAGATACTCTCTTCCATGAACGACGAGCTCTGCAATCCGGCTTTGTGGTCGGCCCCCGGTGTCTCTTCCGCCTCCGCTCCTCCTGTTGCTACCGCGACTTCAGCGGCAAGTAACGGCCCTTCCTCTCACTCGCAAACGGGCGGCGGTCTTCTCAACGGCGATTCCGCCTCCGAGACTTCGCATCACCTCGATGGAGGCGGAATCGGTCCCGGTGGAGGCAGCGGGAGTACGTATAATGGCGCATTGGATGAAGCTCGGTTTCGGTACAAGAGTTCCGTCGCGGCTCTCCGCGAAGTCCTCGCTGCAATTCCCAATTCTCACAAGGTAAAAGGGGAAGACGTTTAGAAACCCTAGTTTTCTATATTCTGCTGTCACGAATCTGTATGTTTTGATTCAGTGCCAAATTAGTTGAACACAATTTTCACCATCCTCATCAGGATGATGAATTGAATTGAACAGTATTTGGTGTGCACAAGCTAGGCTCCATGTTCTGACTTGAAAACTATGCAAGAAATTTGTGCAGTAGAGCATTGCAAGATTGTTCTACTAGAACCCCACAATCCCATTCCTATCTGGGAGAACTTCACCACTTTTTCTGTTTAGTATGCCTACATAGCCATGGGCATGCTGTGTTTGATTCTACTAAGTTTGTTTTTTCTTCTTTTGTTGATTCTTGAGTCTGTTTAGATTAACTTTCTTCAGTATTCTGATTATCGAGGTTGGAATGGTTGTTATGGTGATATCCAAACAGGCAAAACCATTCGAAACAGGTTCTCCTGCTAGTGGTTCCTTATCGCCAGAAGCTGACATTGACAAGCTAGAAGAGCGAGCCTCGAATCTTAGAAAGGTACGACATTTTTCATTTTTTCGGAACTTAGAAAGCTACCATTTTTTTATGTTTGAAACTTAGAAAGGTACTACGATGCACGTTTCCAATGGGTAATGAAGTGTTTAGGTTGAGCTATAGTGGTGGTAGTGATGATCTGAATCTGTAATGCTGGTTGGAAAACCCTATTGTGTTGCCAATTACTTGCATGACAAGGCAGAGGTGTGATTCGTGATCGGGTTGGATTGGTCAGTTAGCCGGAGTAGTTGAACTTCAACAACCAAGGGTTTCATTTGATGTCTTCTTCTGTTTGTTTTGTTGTTCCATCTAACACTTCTGTTTCCCCGTAACAATGTAGGAACTTGCAGAAAAGAACATACATGTCAAGCGTCTGATAGACCAGTTAAGGGAACTTGTTACCGACATATCTACATGGCAGAGTCCTTATGCTGACTGAAGCTCTTGTGGAGTTGTCGATTGTCCTTAGTAGTAGTAAATGCATTAGAACAACAACATCACAACTCTCAGGATTCTGCGTATCAAGCTTGTTCGTTAGGCTTAGGTCTTGATGTTGGTTTCTTCATAGAGTTCTGTCGAATTTTATCTTAGCATGTCTGCTAGGATGATGATGGGGTTCAACTGTTCAAGCTCACAGCTTCTGATTTGAGATTATGTCGTTCCAAGAGTACCTCTAATTTGGGCGATGCTAGCATAAGGTAGTAATCTGCATTATTGATTTTTCCTAACTGAATTCCTCCCATGGTTGAAGTGGAATGCACCAGGTTTAACTTTTTCAGTAAAGAAGTTGAACTGCGAGGTTGTGTTATTGAATTATTGGAGCATGGAGGTGCCAGTTGGTAAAAAATGAGAAGTGCATATGGAAATCGAGTCTTGGTAGATCTAAATCACGAAAGTATGGGGGCCTTGAACAGATGCCAGATCTCACAGACCAACATTTCTGGCCCACATTGATCCAAAGGGCCCCGGCCCCGGCCCCATGATTTGATTTCCAACGCTCGGCTACACTAGTCTCTAAGAGCCAAGAGGTGGATGCTAGATGAAATGTACCATTCTACTTTTTTTTTTTTTTTTACAAAAGATAATCTTTCATTGATTGAAACAAAAGATAGTTACACCCTGGAGAGTAGCCGGGCCTCGAAATCAAAGTAACGACTAGCAGTCGGGTACAAAGAGAGGGTCTTTCGAGCCACCAAGTGGGCTACCCTGTTACTACGCCGACCTACAAATTAAACATTAAACCCTGAGCGAGTCGCCAAGTGATGAATAATTTCAGCAAGAATAGCACCAATTCGACTATCGCTAGCATCCGCATGGTTGATTTTATCAATAATGACCTTCGCATCACCCTCAAAACACACCTCCGTGATACCTCGACTCAGGCACCACATGATAGCTTCCCGGAGTACCAATACCTCTACTACCATGGGATCATCGAAGACCGGGAACTGAAACTCCGCAGCCATTAGGATCACTCTACCAGGAGACATAATAACCATCCCCCCGGCGGAGTGGGATCCCTTCCTCGTAGCCTCGTCCAACATACACACCAGTTTATCAGCCTCTACCAGAGCCGGCTGACGTGGGGGAGTGGAGCGAGAGGTCCGATCCACTGGCAGCCCAACCCATTCCTCATACTGCTGGTTGTACTGACGCATCAGAGCATGGATCCCAAACTGCGTGCCCTCAAAGACAACCTAGTTACGAGAGCGCCAGATTCTCCAAAGGACAGCAACAACCGTCATGAGGACGGATGGGTGATCTAGCAGAGACATTAACCGCTTAAGAAAAAGGGGGAACGTGTGCTGAGGCAACCCTTCTCCCAGGGAAGCCAACCCGGAATAGTCCCAAAGTGCCCGAGCCACCGGACAAAAGAGGAACAAATGTTCCAAAGTTTCAGACTCAACCCAACACACCGGACACCTAGGTAAAATCGGAACATCTTTGGCAATGAGGTCCTCCGTCGTAGAAAGCAAGCGATTCAAGATTTGCCAAATAAACACCTTCAATTTAGGGGGCAAGTTAGCCTCCCACAGTCTGATCCAACTAGCTTTGTCCATCCAGCTAACCTCTGACCTCCAGCAGCCCTTTCTTTTATCGAGGGCGACAGCTAAATGATAGGCCGACTTAACAGTGAATATGCCCTCTGGTGTGTTATGCCAGATCAGCTTATCCTCCACCGACATACGCGGAAGGGGGATGGGTTTAATGGCCTCACAAGTAGGAGGGTTGAACCACTGACTCAACTTCCGGTCACACCACCTCCCCCCTTCCGGACTGATCACCTCAGCAACCACCGGACCCCCCTCAACCGGCAATACCTGGGGGTTATAAGTAGGAGGATCAAGCTGTAATTGAGGGATCCAGTTGGATTGGAGCAGAGAGGCAGACTGCCTGTTCCCAATTTGCCACCGAAGCCCTGCCTCTAATAACTGACGGCCATACAAAATACTTTGCCACCCCCATGATGGTCGAGAACGCGCCGTGGCCGAGAGGAAGGACCCATTCGGGAAATACTTCCCTTTATAGACTTGAGCTAGGAGGGATTGTGGTTCCTGGAGGAGGCGCCAGCCAATTTTCGCTAACAGAGCTTGGTTAAAATGCTCAAAGCGGCGAAACCCCATTCCCCCATCATGCTTACTCCGACAAATATTCCGCCATGACATCCACCGAATTTTCGACTGGTCCTTCTCAACGCCCCACCAGAACCGTGCCACATGTCTATCCAGTAAACGACACAGCGAGAGAGGCAACCTAAAGCAGGACATCACATGCAACGGTAATGCCAAGGCAATGGACTTGATTAGGGTTTCCTTAGCCGCCCAGGAAAGCGTCCTCCGTTTCCATCCTTGGAGGCGATCAAGCAGTTTTCCTCCAAGTATCGGAAGTTATCCATCTTGGACCGAGCAATCAGAGTGGGCAAACCCAGGTACTTATCATGAACCCCCACCGCCCCAACTCCCAGCACCGCATCCAAGAATTCTTGGTACGGCAGAACAATGTTCCGACTAAAGCACACTGCCGATTTCTCCAAGTTCACTTTCTGGCCACTAAGCTCCTCATACTCATTCAAGAACTCGATTAAGTTCTCGCACTCCTGGAGAGACCCACGCAGGAACAAGTACGAATCATCAGCAAAGAACAGATGCGGGGCCCGCGGAGCAACCTTGATTCCTCCAAGCTTATTTTCAGAAATAGCCTTCCGAAAAAGCGCTGCAAACCCCTCCGTACAAAGCACAAACAGAAGAGGAGACAAAGGATCCCCCTGTCGGAGGCCCCTAGAGGGGGTGAAGTAACCCGAAGGGATGCAATTCATTAAAACGGAGAAAGACGAAGACCGGAGGCATTCTTGTATCCATCCTTGCCAGATGGAGTTATAACCCATTTTTCCAAGACCGCGAGGAGAAAGGGTCATTCAACTCTATCATAGGCCTTTTCCATGTCAACCTTTAGAGCCATGTACCCTTTCTTTCCACAGTTCTTGATTTTCAAATAGTGCATTAACTCATGCCCCAGGAGGATATTCTCGACGATTTGTCGGTCTCGAATAAAGCGTTTTGACCCTCCGAGACGATATGAGGTAAAAAGCCAACAAGTCGCTCAGCCAAGATCTTGGTAATGATCTTATACACAAACTGACACAGGCTGATTGTGCGCAGTTGCCGCATATGTTCCACAGAATCGACTTTGGGAATCAGAGTAAGCCAAGTATGGTTGAAACTACGGAGCATCCTACTAGTCTCAAAGAAAGAACAAACTGCCTCAACCACCGAGGCCCCCACAATATCCCAGAAGGCTTTGAAGAATTTCCTCGTGAATCCGTTCGATCCAGGAGCCTGCTTCGATCCCATGGCAAAAACTGTTTTGCGAACTTCATCGGGGAGAATGACCGCCGTTAAGCTGGCATTCATTGCTGGAGTAACAGTCTGATCAATAGGCAAGCCTGCCACACGCTCAGTCATATTAAAGACCCGAGTCTCCGAAGTGAAGAGATTTTGATAGAAATTGGACGCAATACCAGCTTTCCCAGCCTCATCCGTGATCCAATCGCTCTCGTCATTACGAAGGCTAGCCACAAAGTTCTTCTTACGGCGCGTCCGAGTCACTGTATGAAAATAAGAGGTATTCTTGTCTCCTTTCTTTAACCAGTTTACCCTAGACTTTTGCTGCCAATAAAGTTCCTCTGCTTCCCATTGCCGATTCAACTCAATCTCCAGAATCCGGACTGTATCTTAGTCAATTGGATGGGAACTCTTGATAGTTTCAATTTCATTCTGGAGAGTTTTAATATTTCGGAGGGAATTAGTGGTGCCTGCCCTACTCCAATCATACAACAAATGACGGAGTTTTTAAGGCGCTCCCAAAGACAAAACATAGGCGTCCCTTGGACATCCTCTTGCCAGACGTAATGAACCATTGCCCTAACTTCAGGATTATCCGCCCAGCGGGCATCAAATTGAAAGAGAGGGCGGCTATTACGAGCATAGGGCTTATCAGATAGGAGGAGCGCCCGATGATCAAATCTTTGATCAGTAAAATGTTTAACCAGGGTATCAGGGAAGTGATCAATCCAGCCTTGCGAACACAACGCTCTATCGAGCCGTTCGCGAATGCACGCAACACCCATCCTCCTATTAGTCCAAGTAAATTGATCACCCTGGTAACCAGGGTCATGAAGACCCAGATTATGAATAAAGTCACGAAGGCTCGCAGAATGATTGGCATTCCAGGGATTCCCTCCCTCTTTCTCATTTTCATGAAGAATTGTGTTAAGATCACCAATGACAACGTAAGGGGACTGGATGGCCGCACAAACACCATTAAGAAGGGCCAATTGGGAAGCCCTGGTGGCACTATTACAACTAATGTAAACACACACCACGACATAGGAAAAATCTCCTTCATTAACTTGAACACAAATACAAAAATTTGAATGATAAGACAGCGAAGCATCAACTTCGGGGGACCAAGCAACAACTAACCCTCCGAAAGCGTCAATCGCATCCACAAAGAAACAATTGGAAAGATCAAAACATAAACCCCGCATACGGCGAGAGGCAGCACGCCGGCTCGACCGTGTTTCCGAAAAAAACACGAGATCCGGTTTATTCGACCGAACTAAACCTAAAGCAGTTTGGAATGTGAGGGATGGTCCAAGTCCTCTCAAATTCCAGGCAAGAAGCCTCATTTATCCAACTGGGGCCATTCACGGCTGGCTTCCTCCACCGATTCCAATCCAATTCCTTCTTCAATAAACATTTTTTTTGGGGTAGGCGACTCAGCAATCTCCCCATCAATCTCCATCATTTGTCGTTTCTTATTCCCCACAGCCGGGTCGCTCAAGTTCGAGCCATACTCATCAAACGTGTTACCATTATCCCGGTTCTTCTCGACCGCCTAACCCAAAAGGGTTCTCAATTGGGCTCGGCTGGCCCACAACAGATTTTCGGCTAGGATCCGCCATGGTGAGGCCCTTTTCAAAGGCCTGCACCACTTGGCTCACCCGACTAGAATGGGCTTGCCGCTGCATCTTCTTGGGCTCCTTGGGCTCTCGGCGGCGCAACTCAAAGAGAGTATCTTCCCCCGAATCCACCTCCTCGGCCCCAACCGTCCCAACAGTTTGCTCTACCATAGAGGGAGCTTGTGGAGCCACATCAGCAGGAGCTTCATCACTTCAATCCCCAGTTTCAGACGGCTTCTCAGCACTCATAGAGCTCACTTTCTCGGCAGCCTTTGGCTTTTGGCCAATCTCCCGACCTCGCACTCCTGATTTTTTGGTCGCAAGGCCCTTGGTAGCTAGGAATTGAAGCTTACGATGGCTTTCCTTCGGCTGCACCCTTTGTTTCGTACCAGGAGAAGGCTCCCCTTCGTGTCCTTGATTCTGTTGCGAGCAGCTCTCTTGCGCGCAGTAGCCGTTTCCACAAGAGGTCGTATCAATCCAGCACTATTAGTGGGCGGGTATCCATCGTTTGGATGGGCCGGCTGAACGGGAGAGGGAACATCTTGCACAATGAACTCTTCCTCCGACTCTTCTTCCAAAATAAGGCGCCGGCGACGCACGGGACCAGCATCCTTCGCAGATAGCTTGGTGGAGGGGTCCCCAATTACCTACCCATCCTGAGTAGGAACAGCCGCACTCGGGAGGTTAGTTCGTTTTTCACAAGGTTCCCCTTGAGACTGGCGGGGAGGATCCATCGTTGAAACTCGACCAACAACGCCTTTCCTGAGCCTTCCTCACTTGTTTTGCTTCCCAAAGGAAAGCTTAGGAGTTTTCGTACTCAGGATCCGATTCTGGTTTCTCCCGGCAAGAGATCTCGGCTCCATCTCCATGAAAGCGTTTGTGGAGGAACCCATCCACAGCGGGCTTTCGTCCATCACAGGTTGCTTCGCCAGGTCAGGCTATTGCCTTTCGACAGCCCGTGCTTCCTTCCTCACACGATCATCTATACCCCTTACATGGGTGTGTACTCCATGTTGCTCACCCTCATCATCCATGCACCCCATGTGGTTGCCTGACTTCAGGTCCCTTACGACCACGGGTCTCTTCATTAATCCAAACCGAGTCCGACAGCCCATGGAAGCGATGTCTCCCATCTTCCTCTTCGAACACCTTTCTTCCCATTTTTTCGTTGACATGTGAGGGCCAAACCGTTCCCTCCTAGATGGTCGATCAAACGAACAAGCTTGACGGGAGTGGCCGACTCGACCGCAGTGGAAGCAAAAACTAGAAAGATGTTCATATTTGAACCGGATCCAAGAATCGCCAATCTCGTCATTGGCAGCCAAGACCTGAGATCGCAGAGGCTTCGAGAAATCAATAAGCGCTTTAACCTTGACAAAATAACGGCCCGAGTACCCGCCCTAGAGTAGCATTCGCCACTTTCTGCCCAAATTGTTGGGTACAACAATCTTCTTGAACATCTCACATTTGGACCCTGAATGGAGCAAGAGGGCTCAGGGTATCACTTTCCAGATCAGCCGACGATGGGAGGCTAAATCTCCACGCCGGTTTAATGGTAAGCCGCCGACGTTTGTAGGGGGAGCATACAAGGTCGCCTCTATTAGCGAGGAGGCTATCAAAGCTTCGTTTCTAGAGCCCATCTCTCGGTCCACAATGCTGGGGGGGGGGGCGCTCATTTGTTCTCGCCGCCGCCAGGCTTCATCATCATCCCGTTCACCATTGGCACAACCACCACAATGCCGCCAGTTTCCTCTAACACCTTGGTTAGCAAGGGTAGTGTTGAGCACAATCAACACTAGATTGAGAAGGTGGAGGCCCGCCGATCGGCCAAGATGAAAGAAAAGGGGGAGAATCATCGCCCACCATTTCACGAGGAGAGAGGAGAGAGCTCCCCTCATTTACCATTCTACTACCTCTATTATATTGTAGCAAACACTAGCTTTGTACTTGATCCATTGGTCGGGTAATGTTTGCATATGAAATGGTTGGCCCGCTAAAACTGCAACCCAACCAAAGATCAAGTGTAATCAATGACCAGAAAACAACATAATAATAGTACGTTTAATTTATCAATTAACATAATAATAGTAAGTTTAATTTATCAATTCAGGGACCGTAGATTAGACTTTTGGAATAATGTAACTTCCTATCTTCAACAAGGAGGGGAAGGGCAAATCTGTAATAGACGAGACGACTATCACCGCGGGTTCCACGATGTGAGGGCCCTATTTAGCACCGGATTTTACATCTGGATGGGCGAGCTGAGCATGCTGAAAGGACCGACGCCTAATACTGGGTACAAATACCACCTTGTGTGCCGTTCATACGCATCGTACTTCAGCAAGTGTTGATAGAATCTCTAATCGGCAAATCAGGTTTGTTTGAAATAAAATTGGTAACTAAGGAAGCAGTAAGAATTTTTCAAGTTCAATATGAGAACGATCACTCAGGTATGAATCCCCCTAATTACTATCCAGATTAATGAATGTTTATCCTTTAGTTCATTTCATTCGATGTTTATACTGTGGAGAAGCCATATTTAGCCTTGAATATCGACCAAAGCAGACAAGACTCTTTTGATAAAATGCTCGGAGGGACACTATCCTCAACTGAGATAGAATACCAAGGCAATGCAAAATAGGTTCACTCTACTAGATCAAAATCCAGTCCAAAGTAGTAAATCGATTTACTCTCGTGTAATTGATCCTCTGTTCCAATAAATGAAACTTTATTAACCTATCCAGATATTCTCACTTATAGATTAAAGCATAAATCATAAGAATCTGATCATGACTCAGATGATTCATGACTAATGTATCAAATCGATGCATATCTTCGAGTTCAACGATTAGGTTTAGTTCACACATAATCAAACACCAGTTTTCCTCGCCGGAAAACAGTTTTTGTAACAAATATCAATAAGACCATACAAGACTAGGTTTTGTAATATATATATATATATATATATATATATATATATATGGGGAGTTCTACGGTACCCAGGGTGAAATCCGGGGTACCGCATACCATGAGTAAGAAAAAAACTATCTAGAACTTGAATTGACTGATCTTTCGGACATGATGTTATACTCTAACCCTTAAAGATCAAAATTTAGGTCTTAATTATCTAAATCCTATACCCCAAGATCAATTTAATTAGAATTAATACTCGACGGTTATGATTCGTCCAAACATTGGCAAAAAAATCAATGCACCATCTTAGGGTTTATTGTTTATGATTTAGATAATTAGGACCTAGGGTTCACTCATTAAGGGTAAGGGTATAGTATCATGCCCAAAAATCTTGTTAATTCGAGGTCTAGATAGCGTTTTTATACTCAAGGTATGCGATACCCCGGATTTCACCCAGGGTACCGTAGAAGGCAGAAGCAAATGAATCATAATATTTTTGAACTGGAATCCATGCACCAACGTTTATTTGCGCCAAGTATGCATATTTGTCATTACCTCGCGCTTTGAGCACATAAAATGTCATGCATTGTGCAGTTCATGGTCAAGTTCGTCCGTCCATTTGTAAATCTTGCACTTCTCGGACGACCGCTCGTAGTTGCACATTGCAATATCTTTGCACCCAAAACGAGTTTCTCCCCTTTCTCTTTGTTTTCGGACACTCTAAGTCCACAACCTCATATGCATTGCTCGGGTATATCCTGCTACCTTTCATGTAACCTCCTTTGTTGCAGTCACCTCCAAAATAGTCTATGAATGGTGTTGGAAAGTATGACCTTCTTTTCTTCACTGCTCCAACCTTCCTTGTAGAGAAGCCTCCTCTGTGAGCAAAGTTCTTGTAAACCTTGTAATTCATCTTAATTCTTGAAACACAGGTGTTTTCATGTTGAATTGTCTGCTATAATGATAGTTCATAGCACACCTATATTTAACAAGAAGATGCATGAGAGGACACACTGGAGTAATACTACCAAAGACTACCACTTGAATGTCAGAATACTACAACGTAACTTGTATCAATTACTAGCACTAGGAACCTTGTACCAGTAGGTTACTACCACTAGGTTAATTGTACCAATCGTTTAGTACCACTAGGCATAAACTATCACCATCATCGTAACTTTTACCGCTCGGAGACTACCACTAAACATGTACTAGCATCAATACCACAACACTCCGAGTGGTAGCATAATTATGCGTATTACTCAACTAACACTACCAATCCTTCGGAAGTCGTAACATCACATGGTAGCCTTGCCAAGATTGGTGACGTCGGCGAGATTCTCAGTGCCATCTTTTTCCTCTTCAACCTGCTCAACAAGATGAGGCACAAAATCATCGTCTTCATGCACACTGAAGCCATCGTCTCCGTTGTTAGCCTTGTCCCCGTTTCTGGGATAGTCTGGCCTGACAAGCTCCTCCATGTTGACATCGGCGACTTCCTCCACCATCGGTTCCACTTTGGCTGGGAATCTAGACCAAACCGTATGGGGAACCGCAGGCTAGAGTGTATCGTATGGTTTGGTGTGGACCATGAGACCAGAACTATGGTCTAGTCTGGTTTGCGGTCTCCTCCTTAGTGTGGTCTGAAGTGGCCTGGATCGCGGTTTACCACGGTAAACCATAACAGACCGTGACATACTACCTACTAACTCATACCAAAATAAGTAAATAACACTAAATTAAACCTCCATTTATGTATTTGAATAACAAAGTTGATTCTTCATCTAGTTGAGAGGAAACAGATTGCCCAAATGATCGCTTATGCGTTATCTGATCTCCTTATCAAAGAACCACACAAAACCAAGAAGATTCATAACTAATATTCACCGTCAATGTCTATACTATGGAGTGGATAAAACACAAACACTAGACAAATTTCATTCACTTTGATGAGATAAGGAAAATTACTGAGAAATAAGCGGCCATCTTAGTGGTTCAAAACGATCTCGAGGTCATCACGAAGGTGTAGACCACGAGAACCTTCGGATCACCTGAGAGAGGGAGAGAAGAGGTAGCACAAAGAAGAAGAGGGAAACAAGACTATTGATGTGTGTCTTTTTTAATGGAGACTGGAGAGAGAGTTTAAAAATTGAAAAACCACATTTCTCTCCTCACATACTTCTTCTCATTTTAATTATGATCACTAAATTTTTGTTTCACTAGCATATTGGTCACTGGAATATTTATTTTTATAGATACCGACGAAGGGTTGGAGGGCGTAATAAGAGTGAATTCTTTTTAACATGGTCTGCCTAATCCAGACCGTACTGGACCGCACACACAGTTGTGGTATGGTCTTGACCGTATAGTATATGATCTGGTCCATTGTTTGTGTTTTGGCCTCTCGATCTGGACTATACATCGTGTTTATGGTATGGTCTGGTCCGGACACAACATTTCCCACCCCTAAGTTTCACCATGAAGATGATGGGGTGGGGTGGGGGTTGTTTATGGTTAGTGGTAATCAAACCCATCAATCACACTAAAGAACCCTTCACATGCAATTATATTAATTATTCCATTTTCTTTCCTTTTACAATTTATAAACAAAGTTCAAAAAACACCCTTTCTGTATTTACAACTGTAGGATGAGGAAGAGGATAATGGACGACAAGGAGGTGGGAAATGAGTTTCACAAATCCGTAGGGTATCATGTCCCGTCCTGCCTCGTTGTTATCTGGTTTATCCTTTTTTTTTACGGGTAACCAGTGTGTATATTAATAAGAAGATAAGGTTACATCATCCAGCCGTAGCTGATCGATAAGGAAAATCGGTGGTCTATCTAACCACACTTCTCTACAATACCACTGGGTCTCACTATGAGCTATAATATGCGCCGCGTTGTTAGCGATACGCCGTACATGAGAAATGCTATCGAACCCCGATCCCGCCTCATTTAAGAGGCTCAAGACTTGTCTGCATATGACGCCAATCTCGGCTTGTACTTCTTGGGCACGCAGAAGTTTCTCAACAAGGGTCAAGCGGTCAACCTCCAAATGTGCATGTTGAAAACCAAGTTGGTTTGAATTTGGACTCCTAACTCCGCAGCTAATGCCTCCGCCATTTCCATATCACAGGGCCCTCTCATCTTTTTTTTGTCGTCGTCGCGACAAACCTCCCCGTGTGGTCCCTAAAGACAACTCCAAGACATACCCCTCATCGGGGACCATACCCACATCAGTATTCACCTTAACTCGTCCCTCCGCAGGCCGCTACCACCAATCCAATTGCTGCGCTTCACTGGGAGCATCCTCCGGCCCTTGGTTCTTTCAATATTCCTCCAGGAGGGAAGTTGCTCGCTGTACAATCTTGTTTTCAGGCCAGTTAGCTCCGTTGAATAACTGTGCACTCCGCTCTTTCCAGATCGCCCATAGGATCATATGGCCCAGTGTTCCACTATGTCGGAGTTCTCATTCTTTAATACCTCCTTGACCCAAAGCATACAATCCGGCGCCCCATGTATGGTAAAAGCCTTCCCCCATGGCGTCCCCGTCCACACTCCGCAACTCCAGCTACACTCAAGGAAGAGGTGATGTTGCGACTCCTTCTGGTTGCAAAATGGGCATTTGTTGCTCCACCTCGGGATTTTCACAATCACTTTCACCCCGTCGGCAAGATCTCCCGAGTGAAACTCCATATAAAATGTCGAACTTTTGGAGGTACTTTCATAGTCCATATAGCTTTCCATAGCTATATGACAAAAAAGACAGTTTGACGATTCTAATCGCATGATTTGAATACCATTTAAAGTGCACATGAGTAAGTAGAAAAATAAATCATCTATAAAAAAGTTTATCTGTGATAGAGTTGGATCTCCAAGGCTTTTTAGGTTTCTCCTTTCTTTAGTTTTTTTTTTTGTCATAGGCAGGTATACAATGCAGTATGCTTACAATTGTGAAGTAAATGAAATAAGCAAATGCTGTGGTTGATAGCTAAACAAAAAAGAAGATCACAATATCAAAATTCCTATGAATGCAGTGACAAAAACACATAAAAGGATACAAACCGCCACCAAGCACAAATCCTAGCCTTCTTGCACACTGTTACTTGGAAACATCCAGCATTTGCCAAGTTAGAGTTACAGCTTACAATTAAATAAAATGAAATGGAAATTTGAGAACAGGGAGGGAGAGACGAGTTAGGTTGGAACGGTGGGGGCGTGGGTTGACGAAATCAATTCACCGACACTTTTACTTTTTTTTTTTTTTTTTGGTAGAAACCGACACTTTTACTAACGGTGCTAGGAGAAACCTTGCCCATTCTCTCTCATGCTAGCGGCGAACATTGTTTGCAATATCATATACACGTCCATTGGCAACTGGCAAGATAAACAAATTAAAGGGGTATATATATACGTACATGTACATTAGAAATTAATTTCTTAGAAAAATATTGGTTTCGGAAGGTGGAAAAGAAACGGAACGTTGAAATGACATTCAATATTTTCAGAAGAAAACAATTGCCTGGCCTAACGTTGTGCTTTGTTGTCCTTTTGGATATGGAATGGAACGCACACTATACCAATTACCAAGTCAAGAACGAGAAAAAGAAAAAGAAAACCACAGAAAAAAGAGAAGAATGAGAAGATCGCTTCTAAACCACTCACGTTACTGGTTTACAACATATCCCTCCACAAATCCTCTTTGTAGACAAAGCAACTTATCATCGCCAGTCGCCCCTACTGTTAAAATTGCGCTTTAAAATTTATATAAAAAGTTGCGCTTTTACATTTCAAAGTTACCAAAACGCTTATTAATAGAATCGTGCTTTTCACCTTTGGTAGGAAATCGTAACCAAAGAGTGGTGTATTTCTCTAACAATAATTTTGCCCCTATTTTATGTAGTTGAAGGATGAATTCACAGAAGAGTCTTTGCTTTGGGATCCCCTCATTATTTAGGTGGTCTTTTGTTGCAGCCCCATGGAAGGGGATGCTCTCTTCCTTTTTCTGCTTTCCCCCCTTTTTCTTTTTTGCTTATCCTTTGATTTTTTGGTGTGCTTTTGGGTTTAGGGTTATCCATTGATCTTATTAGTGCATTGCACACATAAAATAAAGTCTTAAGTAGATCCGTTACACTTTGCTCCTTTGTTTAGGAAAGAGATTAATTACTTATACATAGTAAATACCGGTATACTTCAGAAGTATAGTATACTTCATCTTTGGGTTGGATTTTGAGAATGTATGTACGGTTTACCTATTAGAAGTTAGGTTATAATATATAACCCAAACTTTGGTTAACTCATGGCCTATAAATGCCAATTTACTATGAGATTTTTCCAGAAATAGCACTGTTTAATTTTTTTTTCCAAAAATAGCACTGTTTATTTTTTTCCCCCAAAAATAGCACCTAAGTCCGAAAAATTCCAAAAATAGCACCCTTTCCCAAAAATCGCTTCTTACCAGTGCGGTTTAGGCAAAAACCGCCACCCAGGGGCGCGGTTTTGCAGATCGCACCCCCACCATGCGGTTTGGTTGCAGACCGCACCCCCACCATGCGGTTTGGTTGCAGATCGCACCCCACAATGCGATCTGCTTTTTTTTTTCGAAAAATCCTAACCTACGTGGAAACTTCAAACAGACGTATCTTTGTGTTCGGGTATCCGATCGTCGCGAATTTTTTTTTGATTCCGCATAACTTTTTGAGATCTTGCAAGCCGAAGACTGCCGAATGTGGTTTGGTCCCGCCTTGTGCTCCAAAAAATCCAAACGACATGAATTTTTTTTTATTTCGCATAACTTTTTAAGGACTACAATTTTTACTAGAATGAATTTTCAAAACAGGAATTATTTTGGATATACAAGATTTTGGGAATAACTTACCTTCCCTTCTCAGCAATCCACGTACATTTTGAAATTATGTCTATGATAAAAGTTGTATTCCTTAAAAATTTATGCGAAATAAAAAAAATTCATGTCGTTTGGATTTTGGAGCACAAAGTTATGGTTGTCCAAAGTTTGACGAAATCGGAAATAAGCTCGTGCGGGGTAGCAAACGACATTTTTTGGGACGAAGGCGAGATCAAACCACCTTCGGCAGTCTTCGGCTTGCAAGATCTCAAAAAGTTATGCAGAATAAAAAAAAATCGCGACGATCTGATACCCGAACACAAAGATACGTCCGTTTGAAGTTTCCACCTAGGTTAGGATTTTCAAAAAAAAAAAAAAAAGCAGATCGCATGGTGGGGGTGCGATCTGCAACCAAACCGCATGGTGGGGGTGCGGTCTGCAACCTAACCGCATGGTGGGGGTGCGATCGGCAAAACCGCCCCCTAGGGGTGCGGTTTTTATCGAAAAACGCGCCCCTGGGTGGCGGTTTTTTGCCTAAACTGCACTGATACGGAGCGGTTTTTGGAAAATGGTGCTATTTTTGAAATTTTTCGGACTTAGGTGCTATTTTTGGAAATTTTTTTTAAACAGTGCTATTTCTGGAAAAATCCCATTTACTATCCTAGTAGAAGTATAATATACTTTAGTAGGAGTACAATAGTAAGACCCCTCATATATAATTTTTTGATAGCATGACCCATTTATATATAATGTCAAAAGATAAACGAAGTTCTGATAGTTCTTGTATGGATGTAAACAATAACCATAACCGTGGATATCCGCCCAAATCTGACTTAATTGGGTAGGATAAAATACGAATTCGAATTTTTTTTAATGGATATGGGTAAAACTCGAATCCATGTATTACAGGTAGTGTTTTTTTAAAACAATTTTCTTCGTTCTAGTAATTTATTGCTGTACTTTTCACTTATGTAATGCCAGTATACATATAATTGTTAACATATTGATTCAAATTACCAAAATAAATTATTACTCATGAATAACAATGGACATCCAAAATCTGATCGGATATGATTTTAATATTCAACCCGATTCTTACACAAATATGAGTAAAATCCGAAGTATTTTAAATATTGTAAAGAATAGGAATTCGCCCAACCCGTTTACCTACATAAGTTCTAGTCCACTATAATGTCAATCAGTTGGTTTAATAATAACAAAATGACAAACACGTAATTTGTTGAAATTTTCCGGCAATATGATGAATAAAAGAATGTTGCCGTCCTTCTGCACCAAAATAAAGAAAGGATGAAAAAAATTAATCAACGGATTGACCTAATAGTAGTAATGAATGGATGAGTAAAAGAAATTTATCAACACAAACACAAGATAATTAAATTTCAACATTTAACATAATTACAATGTACCTTTTAAGAGAGTAACCACGTGGTGGATATATCAATATTTGGCTAGGGACTGGAGTTATATACTAATACTACCGAGTCACGTTGGATAATGATTATGACAAGTAGGGAGGACTTCTGATAACAAAAAGAGAGTCAGGGAAATCAATACTAACCAAAAAGTTAAAAGGACAATTAATGGGGGGGAAAAACACAACAACAAAGATTTAGGAGGACAACATCATTTTCCACACTATTAGCTCATCAGCTCACACAAAAAGAAGTCAACATAAACCACCATAAATCAAATCACTTCCCAAGCTCTTGTTCATATCAGCATTATAATAATTGCATACATATCTCCCCTACCTTTCTTGCTAAGAAGGATTGTTCACTCACTCACTCTATAGCTTTTGCTTTAACTGAACCCTGGTTTGCTTTTAAGCTTGAGATCACTCTCTCTCTCTCTTTCATTCCCTTCTTGTATATCAGAAAATTCTCTTGTCACCTAACACCTTCTCTACCCTTCCTACCATTTTGTTTCTTAGTTTGTTTACTTGTTCCTTTTTTTTTTTTTTTTTTTGCTAAGAGAGTGTCTGTGTGTTTGTTTGGTTTCTGTCATTACTTCTTTTGTACTGTTTGTGGGTCTCTTCCTTGTTTTGCAGTCTGGCAATAATATATAGGACACCATTTTGTTTTTGTTGTTGCTGTTGTTGTTTCTTTAAGTCATATCATGTTATCCCATGTAGTCATGTTTTCTTTTACCTGTTACTTCCACTGAAAGATGTTTTCTTTCCACGGTTTCTGGGTTCCTTTCTCTAGTAAGACTTGAGAAGAGGCTCAATTTTGAGGTCCTCTGTCCAATTTTTTCTGGGTGATAAAGAAGTGAGAAAATGAGGGTGTTGCTTGTGGTGGACCTGGTGATGGTGGTGGTGATTTGGACATTGTCGGTTCATGGGTTCTCAGTTCTCGGATCTGCAGGTACATTTCTGAGTTGGGATTTGCCGGAAATTCTGGTTTGATCCTATTGAGTTGTGCTGAATTCTGCTCAATTTTGGGGTTTCAGAGCAATCTGAATTGTATTCCAAGTGTATGATACAATGCCTGATACAGTTTTCTTCTTTTGGGTCATTTCTTGCTTATCTCAAAGCTTCACTTCCTGCATTGGAGATGTTAATGGAAGTTTTGCTTGTCATTCCTTTGTCCCACCTAACAAGTATTTTCAGTGTTGTGGGGCCTGTAATCCATGAATATGGTGCTCTGAACTCATACATGGTTCTGGCTTCTGAGTTAGGATAAAATTCTGACGTGATCCTGCACCAAGATGGAAACTTTAGCAAGTCTATCATTTACTTAACAAAAACCCAGTCCTCATGCATTTATATCTGCTGTATATGTGCAGCAAGAGTTGCAGGGTCATCTGGTAGGTTGCTTCGCCAAGGGAATGCAGTCCCACCGGGCCGACATCATTCAATTCAATCAGGTAAAAATTGCCATGAAATAATTTTCAGACTGATGATGATGGCATCTTGTTCCTGAAGCTTAGGCTTGCTTAAAGCTCTCTTGTCTATTCTGGACATTGTTTTCTTTGCTGGGAAGCTGTGATTCAGTCTACATTTTCGGCTGTGTAAAAAATTTGACAAGCAGATTGCATTTCAGAAATAGCAAGAGGACGAAACTTTGATCTGTTTGATTGGATTGATGATTCCTACATAATTAATTGAAATGCCTGTTTTGCTCTTACAGCTTCTGATCCTAAACATGGAAACCAGGGTTCTGTTCCTCCTCCAACTAAAGTATCCCACACTGCATTTTCCATGTACAGAACACCCAGTGGGAAAGGTAAATAATTGTCTGGTGCTCTTTGGATTTCTAAGCCTTTGAACTCTAGAAACCGAAGGATCTCTTTCTTGATGTAGCTGCTCACTCACACACTTCAATCCGGCCTCCGAGTATAGCTATTCCTCCTTCATTGTTACATTCTCCTTCCTCAGTCAGAATGCACAGAAACAATGATAAAGGGGACCAATTTATCAGTCCCAAACCATCTGTCTCCATTCATCCTTACTCTCATAGTAAGAGAAGGCTTTAACTTTCATATATGCTTTTTGCTTTTCAGTACAGGAAATTTTATTGATCCTGATGAACAGATTCTTCTGAATACAGGTCACATCTCTCCATTATCATCACCCTCATCAATGAGCACAGGCTCTGTACCACCTGCATTAGCCCCAATGAACCCAGCAGCTGACCACTTTAACAGTATGAGAAGGCTTGATTTTTGTTCTTGGATTGTCTTGGAGTTTTAAGATCTTTTAAAATTGCCTGACTAGAACGTTTTATATTTGCAAGTGCATGTTTATTCTCCTGCCACTTCCCCTTCCGGCTCTTTCTTGAAGAAGATGAAGTCACCACCACCACCTACACCAAAGATCTTTGCTCTGCCACCTCCACCTCCTAATGAGGGTAATGATTATCCTGCAACTATTGATTTATTCATGACAATTTGCCATGCTAACCTTACCGCACACCCATCAAGTTTTCCTATTTAGATCATAAATTAATCGGAGTTTGAGACATGATACTATACCCTAACTTCTAATGGATGTACCCTAGTCCCTAATCCTCTAAACTCAACCTATCATTTAATCTAAAAATAATAAGAGATGGTTCTGATTCATCGAAGTATATCAAAATAGAACTAATAGGTGTGAAGCAGACATATTTTATATGTTAGACATATGCTTATATATATTCACTTGTTCTTTTCATTTTTGCAGATTGTGGAGTGGTGACATGTACAGAACCATTAACATACACACCTCCAGGTTCACCATGTGGATGTGTGTGGCCAATCCAAGTTGAACTCGGACTCGATGTGGCTATCTACAGTTTCTTTACTTTGGTCACAGAGTTGGCAGAAGAAATTGCAGCTAGTGTTGGGCTGAATCACAGCCAAGTTAGGATCATGGGAGCAAATGCAGACAATAATCAGCAGCTGGAGAAATCAACTGTTCTCATCAATCTTGTTCCTCGCGAATCAAGATTTGATTATGCTGCTGCTTTGTCCATCTACAACAAATTCTGGAACAAGCAAGTTCTCATTAAAGATTCTGTCTTTGGTGCCTATGAGGTTTTAAATGTCCACTATCCAGGTAAAAAATGTCACCAGTCTTTCCCTTGTTAAAACTGTTAAAACTACAAGGCAATTATTAGGAGAATCATTTGAATCTCTTATGTTTCTTCAGTTGGTTCTTACTTTTGAAACATTTGCACAATCTGCAGGCCTTCCACCTTCTCCACCTTCCCCTACCAGCATTTCAACTATATACGATGGACCATATTCTGGCCGCAACCATGGTGGGATGGTGGTCAAGCCTCTGGGAGTAAACGTCCCAAGAAGGAAGAAAGATGAGATTGGTGGAGGCATCATAGCTATCCTGATAATTTGTTCGCTCGCCGCCCTGGTTATCTGCTTGGCAATAGTTTGGTTCCTGGCGCTGAAAAGTAGAAATTGCATTACTCATAAACCTCAAGAATCATCCAATCATGCCACATTTCCCCCCTCTCCTAAAAAACCGCTAGGTATTTCTTTCAACCAAACTTCATCCAAATTTTACAACGGGAACCATTCAACATGTTATGTTTTGTTAGTAATTTTGCTCAATTTGGCAGGGACGGGAGGAGTTAAAGTAATAGGAACCATGGCGAGCTCTTCTGCATACACAGGCTCTGCAAAGACCTTTACTTTGAGTGAAATACAGAGAGCTACCAACAGTTTCAATGCTTCTAGGATTCTTGGAGAAGGTGGGTTTGGCCTGGTTTATTGTGGGAAGCTGGAAAATGGGAAGGAGGTTGCTGTGAAAGTGTTGAAGAGAGATGATCATCATGGCAGCAGGGAGTTTCTAGCAGAAGTCGAGATGCTCAGCAGGCTGCATCACAGAAATCTTGTGAAGTTGATTGGCATTTGCTCCGAAGGCCATACTCGTTGCCTTGTTTATGAACTCGTCCCAAATGGAAGCCTGGAATCACACTTACATGGTAGATTTAGTTTTATGATCAAACATTCATTAAATAATACAAAAAATTATGATCAAACAAATAGTGCTATTAGTACATGGCCATGCTTTCTGAATGTGAAATTTCCTGTGCAAATGCTAGGGGCTGACAAGGGGTCTGATCCCCTTGACTGGGATGCAAGAATGAAGATTGCTCTTGGTGCAGCTCGGGCTCTAGCATACTTGCACGAGGACTCCAGCCCTTGTGTCATCCATCGGGACTTCAAGGCTAGTAACATCCTGTTGGAACGTGATTTTACGCCCAAGGTTTCAGATTTTGGCTTGGCTAGAACTGCCATTGACGAGGGAAACAAGCACATCTCCACACATGTTATGGGAACTTTCGGGTATGTTCATACGTCCCACAACTGTCTTAATAGTTTCTGAGATAGAAATTCTTGTCTTCCAGATTTGTTGAGTCTTTTCTGTTTCATCAGCTACCTGGCTCCTGAATATGCAATGACTGGCCATCTCCTAGTCAAGAGCGATGTGTACAGCTATGGTGTAGTCCTCCTTGAGCTCCTAACCGGTCGTAAACCGGTGGACTTAACTCAACCACCTGGTCAAGAAAATCTCGTTGCTTATGCACGTCCATTGCTAACGAGCAGAGAAGGACTAGAAGCCATTGTTGATCCAGCTATAACAAAGTCCAGTAGTGTCTCATTTGACATAATTGCCAAAGTAGCAGCCATTGCATCCATGTGTGTCCAGCCAGAGGTCTCGCATCGGCCTTTCATGGGCGAAGTAGTTCAGGCATTGAAGCTTGTCTGCAATGAGTTTGATGAAGCAGCAGCAACAGAAGTTCAACAGCTTAAACAAGCTCCCAACCATGAGAGCTTTCTGATGGAAGGAGTTGAGATGAAAAACAAAGGAGGACTGTCAAGTGAGCTTATGGATGTTGTTTTTTCGCAGTCTCAACGCCACCCTCCTCTTCCATTGTCATCGACTTCTGGTGATCTGTTGTGTTCAAGTGTGGGAATTGAAGAAGGGGCGGATTCTGGTGTTCATAGAAGGCAATGTAGCTCTGGACCACTGATAACAGGGAAGAATAGACAGTTCTGGCAGAAGTTTAGAGGCAGCAGAAGTGAGCATGGATTTCTCCCAGTGAAGTTGTGGCCCAGGAACTAGCTTAAAAAACAACCAGACGGAACATCTCATGCAGAGAAAGTGGTACGAAATAGGCAAGAGTTCATTGTATTTACAAATTCTTTGAACTAGTATTATTCCGTCTCGAGCCAGTTTTTCCTTGATTTGATTGTTTTTTTGTTCATGTCAGTGATTATGTTTAAAGTTCTTGAAACGGCCTGGAGTTGTACAGTTTCACTTGCCTCATTCAGTTCCAATCACAAATCCTGGCAAACAGCTAGATCGTAGTTAAATCTAAGGAATTAATCGAAGGTGCAACAAAAGAAAATGACTTTTCTTGTAACCCAAGAAGCCACTTGAATCACCTGGAAGAGCCACCAACACTGGCCTTAAATGACTGGAAGGAAAGATTATTTCTTTCTTTTTTGTGTTCAAAGGCAAAAAGGACAGGACATTACATTCATAATGCTTCACTTTCCTTTAACTAATTTCACAGTTCTTACTGCAGTAGACAACAATACCAGTTACTCAAATTATGAAATTAAGGATACAAAACATTCTCCGGACTTCCCACTTTTCTACACCTTACAAATACCTATGACACACAACACACATTAATAATAACCTACATCACAATTAAACCTTCTATTCAGCTACAATTCTCATTAATGAACCCTAGTCCTCATAGTGCCATAGAAGAGATCCTTTGATCTTCACACACCTGCAACTCCTTTTCCTAATCTGTCCTCCAAAATCTTCAGCCCCATGTACCTGCAAGAAAAAAACCCCATAAAACATCGATTCAGTCGAGGTACACAGATGCAGAAAACTACGATGCGAAGAGCGAATTTGATCTCATACCTTCCCATCATCATGACAGTAGCTTGGGGATTAGTCCCAGGCGACTCATCGAAAACCGACCCATCTACGATCCTCATCCTACGCACCCCGAGAACCTTGTACTCCGAGTTCACAACCTTCCCCACATGACACCCACCGTGGTAATGCCAGATCGTGATCACCGTATCCCTACAGAACTGCTCGATCGACTTGGTGTCGTTGGGATGCTTGGGAATCAAGTTAACATTGGCATGAACACTAGCATTCAGAATCCTCTCCCTGGTCTCCCAATCACACTTCAAGATCTCCGTAAACTTCTTCGACTGCACGATCCTCGTAGCCAATCGTATCCCATCGACACATCGCTGGAGGTCCCTCGGATGACTGAAGTAGTTGAACGTGACCGACGGATTCTCTTCCACATTTGTGCTGATCAACTTCAGGTCCCCCGACGAGATTGGATTCGCAATTTTTTCGAGTATGAACCCTCCTTTGAACGCCTCGTGTGGCAACTCCTTCTTCCTCCTGATGAACGCAGCAACCGCCTCTGGCGTCCTCTGCTTCGGAGGAATGGTGGATAGCTGCCCTATCTGGAAACAGGGGAAACACACAAAACAGAACATTAGACCAAAGATGGAACCAAAACAAATTAGCTACTTCTCTTTCTTTCTTCCTATTCTTCTTCTACTTGCTATTTACGTTACCTCGGCAGACATGATCCCATGGTGACACTCAATGCTGTCATTGGACTGACCGAACCCGCTGCTTGCCTCAATGTAAACCCCCAGCTTCGTGATCCCAACGGTCTGTATCAAAGACTGGCTCACCGGTTCCTTGGTCGGCACGAAAATCGAATTCATCGGATTGTCCGCCATTCCTTTCCCGACATTCACATTGTCCAACACGACAGGGATGTTGAGCCTGTCGAGCTCCGGTTTCGGCCCGATCCCGCTCAGCAGCATCATCTGCGGCGTCCCGATCGCGCCGCAGGAGAGCACGACCTCGCTCCTGACATCATTGTTGAGAAACGCCTGGTGGAGGTTGCCGTTCTCATCCTTGAACAGCACGCCGACGGCCTTGGGGTGTTGGGTTTTTGGGGAAGATGGCGCGTCGAAGAGGACGCGCTGGACGGAGGCGTGGACGAGGACGGTGAGGCGGCTGGGGTTGGCGGTGGCGAGGAGGTCGGCGGCGGTGTGGCGGCGGCCGAAGCGGTCGAAGATGGTGCCGCCGAATTTTGTGCCGTTGATGTGGTCGTAGGTGAAGCCGTTGAAAGGGGAGACGCCCAGCTCCAGGAGGCTGTCGCGGACGGCGACCTGCCACGGCGCGACACGTGGCCGGTGGACGATTTGGTTCTCCACCCACGGGTATGACTCGTTGACCAGCCTTTTCTCCCAGCCGACCTTCTCTATGAACCTGAGAATTTGAGGAAGAGTCGGTCAGAGGATTAATCCTGAAATTTTATGCTTACCTAAACTTATTTTTCTTACGAGAAAGCCCTTGAAGTTTGCAACTCTTTGCAAATTGGACCTCTTCTGTCACTTAAATGATTCTCATAAATGAGAAATCTCTCACCATCGAAACAACTTCCAACCACCTTACCGATGCATTATTGGTACATTCTAAGTAGCAAAACAATAATACAGACTATGACTTGTGTTAAACCACAAACTTGACTTGGGAGTGTTTTGTCTCAAAACGTCGACATCGGTCAACTAATTGATACATTGGTGTCTAAGGGTCTTCCTTAGGTTTTGCATTTACCCATTTTTTCAGGCCATAATAGAAGAAGGTGCTAGAAGCCCATAAATGACGGCAAAATAAAGGCACTACTCACCATGCTTGTAAAATTGCCTTTGGCTACCTAATTTAACGAAAAGTGCAAGACTTCTCCTCACCCAAGAGGAAACCTGGTTGGATGGATCTCAAATTTCATGAACTTGGAATCCTTTTCCTCCACAAAAAAGATTATTAAACCTTTATCTTCGTTCACGCATGAGCACTTCCCAAAGTTCCCATCTTTTTATTAATCTATAGTTCCCCATTATTACCTCTTCTTTTAGTGTCCACATAACTTACATCCAGCATGGACACACCCTCATGTGACCGCTTAAAATGAATAGTTGTCATTTTATATTTCTACAAAACGAACTTCATAGTTCAAAAGGAAGGAAATTTGAACATACCATAACAATCATGTGGTTCGGTTAATATTTTCCCGCACAATGTTCGATTCCATGAATCAAGAAAGAAAGCTTGAGCAAACCCATTACATATTACAAAGGGCAAGCTTAATATTGTTTAACTAATTTTGTAAACGGCTAACTCTAGGCCTAGGGTAAAAAGACATGTTGTTTTTTTAGCAAACCCCTATAGAGGAAAGAGTCTGACTCTCACATTACCACTGTATGAACTTCAAAAGTTAAAAAAGGAAGAAACTTTCAGTAAACCCATGAATGTTTTCTTTTCATGTCATCACTAGACCTGAGTCCTTAGGACAAGAAGAAAGGAAATCTGAGAAAAACCCATCACTAAAACAGATCCAAATAAGTATTAAAAGAGGACAAAATCAAAGAGAGAGAAATAGAGATAGAGTAAAGATCAAACCTTTGGCTAGCTCTAGTGTAGAACCCAGCATTGATGCAAGTCCCACCACCCAGAACTCTAGCTCTAGCATTCAAAACACCATCAGTGGAGACGAAGTACTGAGACGCAGAGTAGGGTGAAGTATCAGCCAGTGCTATGTGGAAGTTCCTGAGGAACGAGACATTGGCGTTGGAAAATGGAACACCCCCTCTCTCAAGCAGAAGAACACTGAAGTTCCTGGAAAGTGTTGCTGCTAAAGGGCAGCCAGCTGTTCCACCTCCCACAATTATGTAGTCATATGAACTGTCTGATGTCCCACTTGATGAGAATGAAGATGAAGATGTGAATGTGCTTGCTTTCCTTATGAATGGGTACTTGTAGTACTCATGGAATTCCTCCTCCTTAGCTGAAAACAAACAACAGCAAGCAAATGCACATTGGTGGGCAGTGATTGAATTAATCAATCAAGAGTAAAGTTGGGTTCTTTTTGGTTTTCCTTCTAATTTATCAATTAGGGTAGCAAATTATATAATGACAAATGTGAATTATTAGTTAGCTGTGTATATTGGTGGGGGATATTAAGTGAACCTCAACAGCCAACTACCCTTCTTCTTCAAATCAGTATCAGCTTTACAGTCCCAATAACCTGAAACTTGTTCTAAGTTCTAACTTATAGCTAGCACATTCCACAAGAAGGGTGAAGTGGGAGAACTTAAGTCTTAAACCATAAGTGTCAGAGGTTAGCTGATCCCAAACACAATCTGACTGAGCTAGTTAACTATGCATTAACAAAGATATATATATATTAAAAAAAAGGGGAGTTTCAATTCTAGAGGGAGACAGATTGTTCACCTTGAGAAGAAGAGAGAAGGAGGAGCAGAAGTAGGAAGGAAGAGAGAAGGAAAAGCTTGGAGTTGATATTCATCACCACTTCTCTTCCTGCTGCTGCTGCTGCTGTTGTTGTCCCAGCAAAGGCCATTGGATGGAAGAAATTTTTTAAAAAAGAGGGAAGGGAGAAAGGAATGAGTTGTGACTTGTGAGAGAGAGTGGAATCCAAAAGGTAGCAAGAAAGAAAGAAAGAAAGAAAGAAAGACACTATTTTGATCACACCAGCTTGACAGTTGCCTTCTTCATCTATGTCTCTCTCTCTCTCTCTCTCTCTCTCTCTCTCTATGTGGCTGTGGCTGGTTGGCCCTCGGTTTGTGTGTTCTTCTACTAGCTACCACCACCTTCATATATATACACACACGTATGAGGAAATCATGATTCTATAAGAGTAAAGAACATATTATTGTGTTGTAATTTAGATAGGAGGGGAAAGCAACATTAGGGCATTATTAAGACAATGGCAATGAGCTAATGAACAATCACAAGGAGAGATGGGTGTGGCCAGGCCAGGCAGTCTGTTTCTCATCTCTTTCTTTTGTTGTTGTTGTGAGTATTGAAAGCTGCCTGAAACAACTACTTGAAATAAAGGGTGGTGGGGAGGAGTGATTCATTTAATGATGAGAATTGAATGCCAATTGTGTTAGTAGGAGGAGGAGGAGGAAGAGGAGGAGAATTGTAACACAGGAGTCGTTAAAGGCGATCATTTGGATTTAATCTTGGCCGTCCAATTGGTTTGCTCACCGCAAAGCAGAGGCCACCTAAGCTACTTAGCTATAGACAACCTGCAATCCAGCTCACCTCTCTTTCCCTCCTTCACCACCACAGTGTACGAGCTTTCAATGTCACTTGCCTCCATCTGTTTTCTTTACTTTTCCTCCCCACCTCTTGGTCGATCTATATGTCCAACCGTTTTACTAAACAAAGCGGTGTGTTTGATTCATGGTAAAGGAAATCGTACCGGACATCATACCAAATTCCTTTCTGGTATGGTATTTTGTGGTACGATCGTGGTTCAACCGTTTTGTACCGGTAAATACCGTTTTTCACTATTGATAGAGAAATGAAATGCGATAGTATAAAAAATATAATCCATCAAAAAAAGAACCAAATAGAGCATTATACAACCACGGTGGCCCATTTTCAACATAGAAAAATAGCAAAATAATATTCTTTTTTAATTATTTTCCACATATTGGACGAGAATACGTAGAAATGAAGCTGAATCATAGACCAGGAAACCGGATCGTACCGACCGGTTCAACCGGTCAAACCGAAAAAACCGGCCGGCACGGTAAAATCAGCACAATCAGCCTACCGTACCGCTTTTGGTCCAATTTCCGGTTGAACCGGTTGAACCGGCCGGTACGATCCGGTTTCCTGGTCTATGGTTTGATTGTAACGTTACGATGGATTTTGTTCAAACCCCATTCTTTTACTTTATGTATTTAGAAGTAACAAAATTGTGATTCATGGATTTTGAAGGTTAAAATTTGTGGATCTCACAAACTTGAAAATCCTTCATATTTGAGTGGAAATTGATCATGGACTTTGAAATCTATCATTGTAACCAACCTATCACTCCTATTTCCTTTCTTTTCATATCAATACGTATCATATCACGAATTTAATGAATGTGAATTTCGATGTGGTTAGTGCGATAATGGAGAATCGGTTAACAATAATCTAAATAGCATTGGTGTTAACAACGAATCGAGAAATGAAAACAAGACCCGAGACATCAAGATCAAGTAAAATCACCTCATCCAATTGAGCTTAGAACCGATGTTGAACTATTACACGATACTCAACCGTTCATGTTGAGTTTGATTCTCTCCATGCTAATGCTACTTGGGATTTTGTTCCTAGTCATCTTGATATGAATGTTGTTAGAAATAACGGCGAAGTCAGAATTTAGAGCGAGAAGGGGCTGCAAATAACAAGTTGCAACAACTTCCCAGTAATGATTCAAGATTTTGGAATGAGGGGGCTACCACTTTTTAATGTCTTTCAAGTTATGAATACACATTTATAACGTTAAACTGAAAATTGAGGGGGTGGTTATAGCCCCTAATTGTTTGCTCCTAGCTCCACCATTGGTAGGCAACCGTTGGTTTTTTCGAGTTAAGTGTTGTCCTGATGGAGGGCAGTTGTACCACCCCAGTGAAAGGCGTGATAGAGAATCGGAGCGTCCTAAGAATATCTCCACTAGGCGAGGAGGAAATGGAATTCTTTGAGTCAAGGGACATGGGAAGCAGATCTCTGACATGTAGGCCTCAACCAGATACTCAGCTTACTAAAAGGAGGAGAGAAGGAAAGGGAAGAAGAAGCAGAGAGCGCCACTACCAAAAAGAGGCGGGAGAAACTCAAGATTGTAGTCCTTTTAGGAGAAAGGGAATCCAAAAAACAACCTCAATTTCTTGGAGAAGCACCTCAGCCCTTCATCCGGAAAGGGCACATGAAGAGTCAAGGGGTCTAGTGTAGTACACAACTCTCTCTCAAATAGATTACTAAGAACGATCGTGCCTCCAAACTTCTTGTCTATGGGGTTTCCCACTTACAATGGGAGCACTGACTCGAGTGATTATTTGAGTGCATTCAAAATTAAGATGCAACTCATTAATGCGTTAGACGCTGAATTATGCAAAGCATTTCCTGTCACCTTTGGTGGGAGGTACATAACGAAGTCTGTGTCTCTTCCCGAAGGAATCATCAAACTATTCGAGCAATTTGCAACACTTTTCTCCTCCAAGTTCGCGTCCCAAATCGTCTCAAGCTTACCGTTGACACTCATTAACTGTTAGCAAGGAAGCGAGGAGTCTCTCACCGAATTTTATGATTGGTGGAACACCAGCGCATTTGAATTCCAAGATATATTTGTGGGCAATGCATTCAAAATCATGATTTTAATCTTAAAATCTTATGATCTTACGATCTTACCTATGGAATCCGATCTTGATTTTGCTGTAAAATCTTTGAACCTTAAAATCCCATAAAATCCCGATCTAAAACTCTTAAATCCTTAAAACCTATGATTTCTACGATTTTGTACGATGTCAAGGTTCATGTCAATTGGAGTAAAATCAGGTCGGTTGCCGTTTGGGTTGGATTTTGTCCTTGAATCGGGTCAAGTTTACTTATCCCAGCCCAATATAATCAACAACACAACCCTAACCTGATAAAAGATCCTCAATTGATTTTCGTTCTCTTCCTCACATCTTTCTCTTTCGCACCCGACACCCAACTCCTTCCATCAACAATTTCCTCCACCTCCCAATTAGCTCATATTTTTCCCCCACCACTCTCACAATTAGCCCACTCCCCATTACAATGCATGCTTTTGTTCATCTACCAAACCTTCAGCACCACTATTCCCTGACTTTTATCGATCAAGTAGGGAATGCATCAATCAATGAGTTACCTTTGCCAGATGACGGCGATCAAATGATCCTAAGAATAATGATATCATTTCTCAAGAAAATTATTAAAGGATTCAGATAGGATGAGAATGAGGGTGAGGTGTTGGAATTAATCGATATATGTAATTCCCCGAAACACATCTCGTTAGATTGTCAAAGGTGAACAGAAATACCTGGATACGTGTCGATTGATCACCAAGAACTTGATGCGGAATCTGAAGGATGATTTGGAACTGGACGATACTCCTAGAGCACGATCCAGGAGGTACTGTGACCTTCCTCAACCAAGCCTCCATAGTTCCTTTACGGGAGAGCTCTCGTATTCCTGATGGGGAGAAGACGAGAATATTTTGGTCTTGGTGTATTGGGGACCACGACCTCAAATCCTTTATATACTAGTCACCGTGGGTTCCCATAAAACCCAAGGTGAATAAGTATTGGGATTCCACCCATTTAGGCCCATATCAATCCAAAACATCTTTGGGCTCCTGATTTGGATCACTTTCAATTAGCCCACATAACCAAATAACTCATATAATTGTAAAATATGTGGCCCATATCATTATAGGAAATAGAATTTCCTAACAATCTCCCACTTGGGCTGCATATTTTCCTTGAAACAATTATATCACAAAATTCTTTAGGCGCGCAACTGTATGCTATTTGTACTTAGACATCTCCTAAACCAATCTGGTCCACCTCATGTATTAATTATGGAACCAACACGGCTTTAATCACGATATAATAATGACTAAACCTCCATGATCACCACACTAATACACTTAATGACATAGATCAAATATGAATGAGTGGCATGAAAATTACATGCAATGTGATCTTTAACATGCCTATTTTCAACTGGTCCAACTTTAGTCCTTAATGAGATCAACTGAAATTCCTTCACACAATGTGACCACTATATAACTGAAGGCACTTTAAATTCCAAAATAGACTCTAGAAAACCATCACTTTATTAGCAGAATTGATTTAGTCATAACTACTGAACGTACTTAAATGACTCCCACTAAACCAAGGTACCATCCGGAATAACACTCATGCAAGCAATATGCTCATGAAAAAACTTTATGTGTCATACCATTGGCTAATGGATAAGCTAGCATTAGTCATTTCCTTAATGTTCAATAAAAACTTCTCTATTTTGAACTTTATCTTTAACCACCGGGAGCTTGATGTCAATATATTTGACTTCTGAAATCCGTGGTAATAATAGTGTATCACTATCAAATCATTGTCAATGTTAACCTTCAATGACTTACCAATGTCATTTTAGTGGCAAAACTTTGCTACCATAATTGGAAGTCTCAAGATATGCTTTGAACTCTACCCAACACTGAAGGGTAACCTGAAGTAGAGTTTATGCTACCTTGACATCTTGTAACATAAGAGTCAGAGTACTTGATGATCTCTAACAAATTTGCATGAATTCTTTTATCAACTTTAGTAAACGCATTACACGTTTGAATCCTTCTAGTGTTTCATGCATAGACCTAACAAATATCTGCCAAAGACTCTTACTAGAAATGCTTTATTGGAATGAGAATAAACTAAAGTACACATTAGATCTTTAATGCAAATATGCATTCAAGAGATTTTGTATCTTAATTTCTTATATATAATTGGGGCACTGATTGAGACCAAAACTGTCTCCCTTAGCTACAACACATCTCCTGGTTTACTAACTTATTCTACCTGCACCTTAAGTAGAAAACCATGATGTATAAAACAGGAAAACGAATTTACTCTCACTGAACTTAAGATATACACAATCATCTACAACATTAGTCTCTATATCCGAGTGAGCTAATAACAAAATGAATTTGTGATATCAATAATGAGAAGCTTATATGAGCCAGCATTGTCATTATATTCCTTAAAGAGTCTTTCAAATATACCAGAGAGAAAGTCTCTTTGAGCCAACACTTTCTTTATTAGTAAAGCATTAGAGATCAACATGCCTTATATCTCTCGTTGACTTCACCACATGGCATCAATCCACTTTTCATAACTGTTCATGACTTGACTAAAATTGAATCATTAGTCAACTTGATGTCATGTATATATTCTTTGAAGAACAACGATATTGTTAGCTAGAATCGTCCATCTTCTACTTTGTGGATATACTTAATGGCACTTCTTGAGTGTGTTGAGTTTGTGTGGTAACAATATTCCTTATGTTTCCTTCCCCAAAGCTCAACATACTCAAGAAATCTCACATTTCTCTTTTAAAAACTTTTGGAGGTGGGATTATAAAACTTGTAGCCTCGATAGTACTTTTGAGTAGCCAACAAAGTATAAGTTAATTCTTTTGTCCATTATACCTTCTTGTACCTTACAAGGTATCTCCTAAGTTGGACAACCCTAAATGTGCAAGGTCCTTATTGCACTTATTAGTTACATTAACTACCTTCTGGATACTCAATTTAAGGATGTACGTTGTAACCTTTATGACTTTTATCCAAATGGAGTCTAGTAAGTAGAAATACTCCTCACCATGTCCTTAAGAGTTCAACGAAACCATAACATCCTTAACTCTCTTTTTGTTCCTTTACTGAGAATTTGAGGTTTAGTGATTGAGTTCAGTCTCATCTCGTATCTTCCCTCCTCTCCTTTTGTGAATATTAATACTCACCTAAAACTTCATGGAGGAAGATAAATTAAACCAAGTGTTGAGTATGTCTTTTGACACCTCCAAAATATAATACACTTGTACATTTTGCCTTTACACTTTATGGATTAAATTTACCCCAATAGGCAGCTTACTCTGGATCCTTTTTATGTTTTGGGAAAAAACTGTATTGTTACTTCAATCAACCTCAGAGCCATCTCAGTATAATAGCCCCATAATTATTCATCGAATAGAGCGCTTAATGATCATCATGCACACTGAATTGGATATATCTCTATTCGCTATTATTAAATCTCATTGAGACTTTCTGAAGTAGAATAGGGATTGTTCCACATAAAAGCGCATGATCAATGTCTATATATCGAGAATAATTTTCTTGAATTTACTTTAAACTCTTTAGGTTCATCCCATTTAACAGAAGAGTTAACTTTAATTTCGACAGAAATATTTAAACCAAAGCACGAAAACTATATTGAGATAAAAGAAAACACACATCAAGCCATGTAATTAAACAAGATAATAAAATTATTCAATTTCGGGGACCCATCATAAGATACCAAATGCAACATTAATTCTTAGTCTTTGGACAGAGAAATTAACTGCGAGCGGTACTCTTAAAAACAATGATCAAATACTGATAATAAGTTCTGTCAAACAACAGTCTATCTTTGGACCGACTGTTATTCACATGAACAACAACTTTATAATTACCACGTATTCACCATTAATGTGCTTGATTATTTTGGTCGAATAATGTCGTCCTTTGGGTCGAGCACTACCCACATAAAATAACATTACACGTACATCTATATAATCTAAGTTAAATAATTTTTCGCAAGTAGAGGTTACTTTGGCAACATACTGCTAAAATTAATTTAATTAAAATACATGACAATTCTCTCATAATCACAGAATTCCAAATAAGTGATTAATTATCCTTAAGAGAGAATTACAAATAAAAATTTTAAATAAAGGTTTACTCCATCTCAAGACACAATGCACTCCATTAATATTTGTCTTTGGACAAAATATTAACTTGTAAGTTATGTCTTATGACACAATAATTAAATATTGATGATAAGAACATATGAAATAGTAAATCCACCTTTGGGCCGATTTAAAATTCACATGCTAACCGAATAATCATCACATATTTATTACTCTATGCGCACATATGGAACCTTAAATATTCGCCTACCTTTGGGCCAATGAATACATAATTTGCACGCGCTAAAATGTAACCCTTTACCATATAGGGATTTATAAAAAAAAAATTGTCCAACGACCCCAAAATTTGGTTTACTGAAATGAGGCTTATATTCCTCATAAACTTGTCTTGTTTACCAACAAATTACGAGGCATTAAATGAACAAAGTAACTATAAAGTGCATTTTGATGATCCAACGACCATTACGTAGCGGAGAACACAAATAAATAAATTAATAAATAAATAACTTAACGGCTAGTCATAAGATCTTAGCCAAAATTATTAGTGAACCCATAAATTCATGTTGCAACTCTTATTTGCGAACCCATAAAAAAATATTGCTTTAATCCATAAGTTTTATAACCGATTGTTAGCAATAATTATTACTGAAACAAAAAAAAAAAAAAACTCGGTTATATTACAGAACAGTTCATGCCAATAATTCTTTTTATAGAGAATATACATGGAACACTATTTCAAACTTATGGCACCAATAATTCATGGACTAATACAACAAGCCCGCAGTTGCATACTTCCCAAAAGCACACCCGGTTATTAATAATTAAGCTGTAATTGAAAATCAATAACCAGCTATGTAGTTATTATTCCGGGCAAGTAATGAATTCAAATGGTAACACTGTAACCGTTATGAGAAAACAATGATAAAAGAATAAGAAATTACAATGTTTTCGTAACCGAAATAAAACGATAATTATCTTTATGACAACAAGGAATATCATTATAAGAAGTAAAACAACCTTGCATATCATTACAGTGAGAACTACAACCGGGGACAGGTTATGGTGGATACTTCGTGTTAGTAACCATGGTGGTTACTAGGGATAAGAAGGGTATTTTGCTTTCATCCTAATTCAAACTACCATTTTAATTACACAATTAATTAGGAAGAGATAATTACGGTAATTAATTATTAGGTAGTTTAATCAGCGTAGGGCTTTTCGAATGCCACGTTTTTTGGCCGGCCCTAATTCTGCCGCCGTGTACACTTCGAAGTCCACCTTTTTTTGCCGGCGTTGCATCATCGCCGACGTTGCATCAATGGCGACCGCCGAGTTCCATGCACAACTCCACCGCCACCGCCACCGCCTCCTCCACCATCGAAGCCCGGATGTGAGCTCCCGCCGCCAGCACCAACAATGTCGCCGCCGCCAACACCCAGCTACCACTCGCCGCAATCCCCTCTGCCGCCGCCTCCACATCACCAAAGTCCTCCTCCGCCCCATTCCATGCAGTGGTAGTCCTTTGATGCAGTGGTAGTCCTTTGATGCAGTGGTAGTTTTCTGCATACATGTTTCGGATTGGTATTGTTACGTACTTGTTTAGGAATAATGGTAGTCCTTACATTGGTATAGGTTGGATTGTTATTGGTAGTTCGTATCGCATTGGTATTCGTTTGATTGGATTGGTATTGGTTCTGACTTTTGTATTAGCTACTACAATGGTAGTTATTTTTTGGCATATTTGTAACAAATGGTAGTGCTTTGTTAGTTGTAGTATGATTTATTGGAATGGTAGTGATTAATTGTTGTTTTACAAATTGCAGATCAGGTGTATAAAGTTGTCCCGGCCGACAAATCGACATGGCAGCATTTGAGATTTGAAAATAGGGAAGCATTTGTCAAGTTCTACAAAGACTTCGCACACTGGAGGGGTTTTGGAGTAAGACGTATTGGAGAACAGACTCGAAAACCCAAATATCTTAAGGAACGGAAGGTGTTTTACTTTGGAGCACGGTGCAACAAAGAAGGGTTCAAAACAAGGAGCACGCTGGATCCAAAGAATGTCGGTGTTGTGGTAGACACAGAACCTAATAAGAAGAGGAAGAGGGGCGAGACTCGTTTGGATGTAAACAAAATCCAATCCGAGCTTCTTTATTAGTTCTATCCTTGCATTTGTTATACCATTCTCGACAATTGATATAATCGATGCGGGGCTGCACTTCTTCCCAAGTGGTTTAGATTTACCCATATCCTTCTGCGGCACAGCTTCATCAAGGGCAGAGGTTTGCCCACTTCCAACTTGAATCTGTTACCTAACTTGACGACTGCTGTAGGTAACAGGTTCCTTGTGTTTTGAGCCCCTACGACTGGGTTCTTGGTTCTTGCCATTCCTAAAATTGGGAAAATAGGAGGTAAGTCGTTTAACATTAATCAAGCATCACAACCGTTGCATGGGAAAAAACTACCAATCCAAATGAAGACTACCAATCCACATCAAACACCAGATTCACATGTATGGAGAAAACTACCAATGCATGAAAGGAAACCACCATTCAAAAAAACTAAAAAACTACCATTCGAACGGAACAGTACCAATCCACATCAAAAAGCACGGTTTCACATGTATGCAGAAAACTACCAATGCATGAATGAAAACAGTAAAAATCTACCAATCCAAATGAAGACTACCAATCCAACATGACACAACAATTCAAAACAGTAATAAAACTACCAATCCAAATGAAGACTACCAATCCACATCAAACTACCAGATTCACATGTATGGAGAAAACTACCAATGCATGAAAGGAAACTACCATTCAAAAAAACTAAAAAACTACCATTCGAACAGAACAGTACCAATCACATCAAAAAGCACGGTTTCACATGTATGCAGAAAACTACCAATGCATGAAAGAAAACAGCAAAAAAGAATACCATTCCAACATAACACTACAATTCAAAACAGCAAAAAAACTACCATTCCAAACATAACACTACCATTCCAGAACCGGCGGCAGCCGGAGCTATGAATGCCGTCTGCGGAGAAGATGGAGTTTCAAGCTTGAAGCTGGGTTTTGGCCTTTGGGTGGAAGTCTGCGGAGAAGAGAAAGGAAGCAGATTTGATGGCGTGGCGGATTAGGGTGGAAGCTGGGTTTTGGCCTTTGGGTGGAAGTTTGCGGATTAGGGAGAAGAGAAAGGAAGCAGATTTGATGGCGTGGCGGATTAGGGTGGAAGCTGGGTTTTGGCCTTTGGGTGGAAGTCTGCGGAGTAGGGTTTCTCGATTCTCGAATGAAGGATGCGGTGGCGGATTTGATGGCGTCGCAGAGTCAATACCAAGTTGATCGGAGAGGGGAAGGGGTGGAGGCGATGGCGGATTTGATGGCGTCGGAGAGGCGGAGGTTGATCGATAGCGGGAGCGACAGGGAGAGGAGGGAGGAGACGACGGCTAGGTATTAGGGTTTGAGTAAAATATATACAGTAATCAGGTGTGGTATGTTTTTCATTTCCTAAATTACCCTTAGCTAATCTTAATCATTAATTTAAAATTATAATAAAATAAAGATAATGAATGGTATAGATGTTGGTAGCCACCGTGATTACTCAAAATTGAGTAACCACCCTAACCTATCCCACTACAACCGGAAACAGCCGATAATCATAAGTGGTATTATTATTATTATGGGAAGTATAAAACACTCGAAAATATATATAACAACCGGAAGAAATAATTAATTAATACCTTCTGTAATCCCTTAAACGGAAGTCCTTAATGGTTAATTAATTCATATACATAACCGGAAAATAATTAACCAATACCGCTAAGTGGAATACAATTAATTATTATTATCATTCCAAAGACTTTACCCATAATTCCGTAAAACACAAACGGCTTTAATAATAAATTAATCCCTTCCGACTCCCCTTCTGTAATACCGTAACCGGAAGGTAACAATAATTATTAATCTTAGAAACCAACAACTACTGGAGCGGTTTCCTTAACCCAAATGTAATAATTATTATTATTGACGTAAAACTATACCGTAACCGGCATATTAACTATCATTATGATAATTTCCCACCTTACCGGAAGATAACGATTATCATTATCCAAAGCAAAAAATCGGAAACCAGCATTTCCGGAACCGGAAGGATAATATTAATTATATGTCAAATGCCAACGGGTGGTGTCACGGCCTTACTCTTGGTCGTGCGGCCCTATCTCTCAATTCCGTTAGAGATGCTAGGCAGCCTTCTCACAAGCTCTCAAACTCACTCAACTCACAAGAACAAGACACAAGAAGATGGGAGAAACTCTATAGTTGTATTGCTCACAAAAAATGATGGATGAGTTACAAGTGAGGGAAATGGCTCCTTATATAGGCCTCTCCTCATACAAGGCATCAATGCCCCTCATAATGGTCCCTCCCCATTGCTACACCCTATTAAGTTTCCCCCATAATGCACTCTATCAATGTCACCCATTATGTGACTCATAAGTGCACCATTAAGCTCTCATTTAGGTGGAGAATCCTAGGAGCATCTCTATGCTACTAGTCTTCCATACACGCCACATGTGCAGCCGCCATGTTGTCACCTTGTTGGCTCCATGTCATCTGCCACATGTGACATCCTCCCCCACCTATGCTCGCGACGCCCTCGTCGCGTCCTTGCTACGAAATGCCTCCTTCGACCTCGAGCAGCCTATTTCGACTCTTGAGCCTCGTTGGTGACATTCTCCTTCACTCAATCCACGACGCCCTCGTCGTGGCTCTTTGGAAGACGCCTTCCTTGCCTTAGCTTCATTGCTTGCAAGGTCTTGTTGCACCTTCCTCCAAACCAAGGATGGCCCTGGCTCGCTCTCGAGCCTTGTGCTCCCATGATGTTGCGCACTCCTCCGCGGTTTTCTCCGTCGCTTCTCCGAGCGTCCCGCCTTCTCGATCATGGTGGCCTTTCCTTGCTTCTCCTGGCAAGTCGAAGATGACCCCTCCTCGTCTTTCATGGCTCCACGATGTGGTGCACTCCTTCTCGTCCTTCTCCAACGAGTCTTTGAGTGAGCTCCTGCCTCCACCATCGTTGCCACTTCTTGCTTCCCTTTCCTCGCCAAACAACTCTTGCTTGACGCAAGTTGCTCTCTTTTCATGGAAACCAACCTTGCTCCACCATTGATGCAAAATCTATTGGCGTAGGGAATCGGGAAAGCTTTCTCCCGCACCATGAACTCCATGCCGATGATGACCTGATAATCATCCAACGACACAACCTCAAAGTCCGCTACCCCGGTCCATCCTCCAAGCTTGAGTGGCACCTGGCGCGCTACTCCATGAGTTCTTGTGGCCCTTGAGTTGGTAGCTTTCATCCACCCTCTTTGCTTCTTCTCGTACGTGATGCCTAGCCTCTGTGCTTCACCTACGTCAAGAAGGTTGCAACTTGCCCCAGTATCAACCAAGGCTTTTGTTTTCCTTTGGTTGAGCTTCGCCTCTACGAAGCATTGGCTGTGCTGCTCGGGATGGGGAGGCTCTTCCGCCCGCTTGATGGCGCTCAATCTCTTCATGCAACCCATCTTCGCGACATGGGGCTCCACTTTAGGAGTCTCCTCTGCTTCCTCTTCCGAGCTCGAGCACTCTGCCAGTACGGCCTTCATTGCCGACAACTTGTGCTTTCTTGGGCAATCTCTCACACGATGTGGACCATCACAAAGAAAGCAAGTAAGTGGTTTCTCAACCTTATGACTACCTCCTTGGTCCGGTTTACCACGCCTTCGTGTGTCTCTATCATAGTCGCGTCCACCTCCATTGCCTCCGAACTCCGCACGTTCCTCCGGCTCGTGGTACTCGACTAGGGACTCGGCAATCGCCATTGCCTCGGCAAGAATTTGCACGCCTCGCCGTTGTAGCTCCAACTTCGCCCATGGTTGGAGGCCGTCAAGGAAGGTGAACATGGCCTTCTTGTCGGTGTAGTCGGGGATCTCGAGCAACAATTCAGAAAACTCCTTCACATACCCTCGAATTTCTCCTTCGTGAGCAAGCCTCCTTAGTCTCGACCGGGCTTCAAACTCAACATTCTCTGGGTAGAATTGCCTCTTGATCTCCCTCTTGAAGTCATCGCATGACTCCATCACGCACGTCCCTTTATTGATATCGCCTTGGGTCCTTCTCCACCACAGCATGGCAACATCACTCAAGTAGAGAGGTGCAGTTTTTACCTTGGTATTCTCATCTCGGATACCCGAAGCTTCGAAGTATTGCTCCAAGCTCCATAGGAAGTTCTCTAACTCCCTTGCATTCCTCGACCCTTGAAAGCTCTTTGGTCTAGGAATCTCCATGGTTGAGGTAGGTTGTGCGATGGCAGGTCTGTTAGCCATAGCTCTCTTCACGAGAGTGACCTCACTCTTGAGGTCTGCAGTCTCTTCCTTCACGCCCACCAGCTCGGCCTGGACATGCTCTTTCACGACCGCAATGGCGGTGCTCACGGTTTCGGAGATGGTGTTGGTGATGAGAGCCACAAGCTCTTCTCGCATCCCATCATGGTAGATCTCCAAGCTCGACAAACGAGCATTCAAACCTTGAATATCGCTTTTGACTTGGGCGAAGTTACCTCCCAAATCCTCGATGGTAGTGATGTCTTCTGCCAACTTCACTTCCACTCTAGAGACACGCCGCTCTAGAGACGTCATAGGATCACGAGTGCTTGACTTGTCACCCTTTGGTTTGGGATTCTTCACGGTATCCCTTCCACGGTGCTTCTCCGCATCGTCGTGGACTTCTGATCCAGCCATCTTTGGTGAGGCTCTCGCTCTTTCTTATCTTCCTTCTTGGGGAGTGAGGACACAGGTTCTTCTTTCAGAACCAGGCTCTGATACCAACTGTCACGGCCTTACTCTTGGTCGTGCGGCCCTAGCTCTCAATTCCGTTAGAGATGCTAGACAGCCTTCTCACAAGCTCTCAAACTCACTCAACTCACAAGAACAAGACACAAGAAGATGGGAGAAACTCTATAGTTGTATTGCTCACAAAAAATGATGGATGAGTTACAAGTGAGGGAGATGGCTCCTGATATAGGCCTCTCCTCATACAAGGCATCAATGCCCCTCATAATGGTCCCTCCCCATTACTACACCCTATTAAGTTTCCCCCATAATGCACTCTATCAATGTCACCCATTATGTGACTCATAAGTGCACCATTAAGCTCTCATTTAGGTGGAGAATCCTAGGAGCATCTCTATGCTACTAGTCTTCCATACACGCCACATGTGCAGCCGCCATGTTGTCACCTTGTTGGCGCCATGTCATCTGCCACATGTGACAGTGGTGGAAGGCTAAATCCGTAGAGTTGAATTTCCGTAACTGGCACCAAATTGTACGTTAAGGAAAACAAAACTCATGACTATGATCCCATATTCCCACTGCATTCCCCATTTCACTAAAGAGGGAAATTAAGAAGAAAGAAAGAAAAAAAAACTTCATTGCATGATGAACAGTAGCATGCATTTTCTGGAATTTTAGATTCAACCAACCGGAAATGAAACCAAATGATTTTGAAAACCTGATTCATATGAACTTAATATGAATAAGTAATTTTACCAGATTGTCAAATAAAATAACAATCTTGCATAGAACATATGCATGCCAAAGGAATGTCAAAGGAATCACAAGAAGGAAACATAGAACCAAACAGGCTCCAAACATGAATTCCAAAACCCCAACAATCAAACAAAGATGAAGGGCTCTGATACCACTTGTTGGAATTAATCAATATATGTAATTCCCCGAAACACATCTCGTTAGATTATCAAAGGTGAACAGAAATACCTGGATACGTGTCGATTAATCGCCAACAACTTGATGCGGAATCTGAAAGATGATTTGGAACTAGACGATACTCCTAGAGAACGATCCAGGAGGTACTGTGACCTTCCTCAACCAAGCCTCCATAGTTCCTTTATGGGAGAGCTCTCGTCTTCCTGATGGGGAGAAGACGAGAATATTTTGGTCTTGGTGTATTGGGGACCACGACCTCAACTCCTTTATATACTAGTCACCGTGGGCTCCCATAAAACCCAAGGTGAATAAGTATTGGGTTTCCACCCATTTAGGCCCATATCAATCCAAGACATCTTTGGGCTCCTGATTTGGATCACTTTCAATTAGCCCACATAACCAAATAGCTCATATAATTGTAAAATATGTGGCCCATATCATTATAGGAAATAGAATTTCCTAACATGAGGATGATGATGTGTGACGGATGATTATGTTGATTCAGTCAATTTTTCCTTTTCTTACCACTCCTCAGCTCTCCTCTCCTACATCTTCTCTACAACAATTTTTAGAAACCTCCCCCATTAATTTACCCAGCCCCCTTCTTTCTCAACCTTCCGAGACTACCCCATCCATGCTAAACCCCATAATCCCTACACCTCCCCACACTGGGCCATCATTACTAGACCCAACACTCACCACCACCTCTTCTAACTCCTTGTCCACACTAAATTATGTGTTTATCTAATTTTAACTACTTAACAATTAAGCGATTTCTATAAGTTTTCATGTTTTTTATTTTTGTGTTTTTATGTACAAGAATAATTCTATGGATTTATTTGTGTTTATTAAGCAGACGAACTTATCTTGGGAAGTAATTAGGTCCTATCTGGTTGGTTGTTATTCATGATATGGATTATTGTTACTATCTGGAGTTTAAAGTATTTATTTTAATATGAACCTTAAAATCTTACAATTTTACGATTTTAATATACGATTCCGATTTTATCAAACTTTTCGATTTTACGTAAAATCACGATTTTGACTGCATTGTCTACGAGGGTGGCAGCAGAAATCTATGCATGTCAACACATAGTAGTGAGTTTAAGTGAGAGCTAATTAAGAAGGGGCACTGTCTGGGCTCTTGGCAGGAGTTGGACTAGTTAGTACGCATGACAATTACTCTATAAAAAGCATTCGCCACAGAAGATTCAAACAAGGTAAAAAAAACCATAAGGAAGAGAAACATGGCCCCGCAGAGCCCAAGAAATCGAACAAGTCGCCTTAGCGGCGTGGAATGTCTTCCGAGAAGAAAAGTTACAAATTGAAATTTTCATCGCACGAAGCGCGTCAGGAAGTGTACGCCACCAGAGAAGAAAGAAAAGATAGCAGGAGGAAGTAAAATTCAACGCTGGAAGCCAAATGAGAGGGTAGAGCAGAGAAGTGGTGCTATTGGCAATCGGGATCCACTCATGATACCACTAATTGCAGGGAGTTCAAGATGAACCTAACCAATCTAGCGCTTGGGTCGCTCTGCAACAGTATTAGGGTTGTAGTTTGGAGACTTGCAAAACCAGTTGGACGCCAAGCAGATGGGGCGCAAGAGGTCACCTAGTAGGCACCTCCAAGCTCGATCCCCAGAAGGCACCACACTTGATCTTCAAGTCGCTATCGATTGAGGTCTCCTTGGGGGCAAAGATCTAGAATTCCGTTGCAAAATAACTCTTGATCTCCTCAAAGAGAATGGATTACCTTCCCCCACCAGGAGGACCAAGAGAAAACAAAATTCATGACCCCCTCGACAACTTCTACTATACGGTGATGCCTTTGGGACTCCAGAAAACGGGAGTCACATATAAGAGGATGGTTGATGCAGTCTTCCGCCAGTAAATAAGAAGATATATGGAATCTTGCGTGGATGACACATTGGTCAAAAGAAAACAAGTGGCATGGGGAACCACCTCGAAGACTTAAAATAAACATTCAATAATCTTAGAGCAAATTGCTTGCGACTAAATCCACCGAAGTGCATGTTCATGGCAGAGGAGGGAAAATTCATAGGTTTATGATAACGACACAGGGCATTGAAGCTAACCCAAATAAGATCGAGGCGATAATCAATCTCAAGCCCCCCTAAGACCATCAAGGAAATCCAACTTTCAATGGCAAGATAGTTGTCGTCAACAGATTCATCCCGTGCGCGGCCGCCAAGTGTTCACCCCTCACGATTTAAATGGAGTGAATGATATGATAGACGCCTCCAGTTCTAAGTGCACCAGAACCCAGAGAGCTCATTTTTCTCTACTTGGATGTTTTGATGCAGACCGTAAGCTCGGCTCTCATAAAAAGATATGAAATCGAAGGCTGAGAGCAACCTGCCTACTATGGTAGTCGAGTCCTTCTCACAGTAGAGATGCGATACATGCCCGTAGAGAAGGCAATGCTAGCCGTAGTAATGCTCACTCGAAAGCTTCGTCATTACTTCCATGGCATCCAATCACAGTACTGACCGCGTTGTTGCTGAAGAAGATCCTACAGGGATGGACACTTTGGGACGAATGACGAAGTAGGCCGTCGAGCTCAGTGAACATGACATTGACTATACTCCCATTGTAGCCAATAAAATACAAGTGTTCGCCAATCTCATCATGAAAGGCTTCACACCATAATAACAATAGGAGAAAATGAGGAGCAAGTGTGGAAGTTGATCGTGGATGGCGCAGTAGGAAAAGGAAGCGCGGGAGCAGGAATCATGATTAAGACCCCAGAAGGCGTTATGCAATAAATATCCTGCTATGGAGACGTTGCTACCATTGTTGTGAGCATGCGCCTACCAGTCCGAGGATAATCATCAAAACCTGCTGTATTAGTTGGACATGACGAAGTAGTGCAAAGAGATGGGCATGCTATGTGTCATAGGTCAGAATGAGAAGGTGGCCAGAGTATACAACACAAGGGTTAAGCCGGGTGCACTAGAGGAAGGAGACTTGGTGAAGAGGGCTTTTGAAAAGATTGAAGATCATGACAAACTGGCAGCTACATGGGAAGACTCTTACTTAATCGGTCACAAAATTGGACACTGCACATTCAAGTTGGCCACCATGGAGGGGGAGCCAGTAAGCAAGACCTGGAACTCAGTGCACTTGCGCAAGTATTTCTCAGCCAAAAAATGAAGAATGTAACCTCCTTTATGGGGAAATTTGATTAAAGAAATGACAAAGGATAAGACTTGAAGTTAAGAATCTCACTTCCCTAAGGTAGCACCTGCAATACATCTCTCGATAGACATGGCGCTTCCATGGCGTCGCTCATAACACATCTCCCATCATCAAGAGCGACAGAACAAATCCATGTACGACCAAAGCGATGTTCCTAAAACGTCTCCAAATAGACGAAACATGCGCTAGCCTACGCCTCCAGATGAAATGTGTCCACTCGCTACACATTTTCTGATAGACAGGGCGCATCCATAGCGTTGCTCATAAAACATCTCTCATTAGTCAGAGCGACTGTTGAAACCACTTTCGAGACACGAGCTCGCTCATAACACGCCTCCCACTGGGCAAAGCAATTTTGTGCGCAACCAAAGTGATTTCCTAATACGTTTCTCGATAAACGGAACAAGCTTCGGTCTGTGTCTCTAGATAAAATGGGTATGCCTGCCACATGTCTCCCAATAGACAAGGCACAACAATGGCGTCACTCATAAAAAGTCTCCTAGCAGACAAAGTGACTGCCAAAACCACTTCCTAGGCACGAGCTCACTCATAACACGCCTCCGGCGAGGCAGAGCAAGTTCGCGTACAACCAAAGTGATGTTTCTAACGCGTCTTCTGATAGTCCAAGCACCAGCCTACTCGTTCAAACAAAAATTGGAACATGAAGTAATTACAATTCAGATAGTGCATAACATTAATATAGTAATACACATTAAAATTGTGGTTATATAACTATTCAAAAAAAATGACAATTAAATATAAATATATTAAAGTAATGTATTTGATTATTTTAAAAGAACGGAATTTTTTTAAGAGAAAATGGAAGAAAATTTGGTTCTTTTAATTTTTGAAAAATAAATGAGAGAAGTTTAGTGCTTTTAATTTATGGGAAGAAAAATAAGTGAAACTTTTTGTTGTTTTGATTTATGAAAAGAGAAATAATAGGAAAATATCTGTGTTTTCAACTTTTTGGAAAAGGAAACAAGGGAGAAATTTGATCCTTTCATTTTTTTAAGTGAAAATCCTTTCATATTTTTGGAAGAGAAAGAAGAGGGAAACTTGAATGCTTTTATATTAGGGTTATAGGTATAATATGCCCCTCTCCTATGACATTTTATCAAACATGCCCTTTACTATTTTTTACATCAAACATGCACCTGTACTTTGAAAATATTACCAAACATGCCCTTTTGTTAAAATTTTCATCCAAAAAGCGTTAACCAAGACCGAACTTTGGTTTGGGCGACCCAAATGTCTAAAATATCCCTAATAATTTCAATTTTGAGTTTTTTTGGTTCGTTTGTATAGCCAAATAATAATTTCACTTTGACGAGACCCGGAGAAATAAAACAAGGGTCAAAACTGACATTTCCCCTCCATTTGTCGATGTCAGGTCGTCCAAATCTCGGTTCAACCATGATTGACGGTTTTTTCAATGGAAATTTCAACTGAAGGGCATGTTTGATAGTTTTTTCAAATTATAGGGGCATGTTTGATGTAAGAAATAGTATAGGGGCATGTTTGATAAAATGTCATAATAGAGGGGCATATCAGAAAGAAGAGAAATTTTGGTGTTTTCAAATTTTTGAGTGAAACGAAAGAAGGAAAAAATATTGTGCTCTCAACTTTTTGGTGTTTCAAGTTTTAAAATTTTAGTGTTCTAAACATGAATCTTGAATTTTTATATGGAGACCAATATTAATTGACTATATTATATCATTGTATGGAATGACTAATTGACTATATTAAATTTGACAACCTATCATGATTTATCTTATCTTGAATATAATATCATTCGAACGATTTGATTGGGTCCATGCCACCTCCACATTCGCTTCCACCTCTTCTTCTCATGCTCGTTGATCGGGTGTTCATCACTGCTTCTTTGAATGCTCCACCACCGCCATATAAGTTATTCTGAGGCGGAATATGTCATCTGGCTCCCAACTCCAGATTATACAGTCTCCCCCCAGCTCTTTGTTGGGCGGTTCCAAGCCTGCAATCATCAAAAGAAGGCCATAAGGAAGATGAGAAGAAAAGGAATTCCAATCCCACTCCCCTTCATAATTTGTCATTTCTGCTACAGAAGCTTCCACATTGATTCCTTCACCATTAGAATTGATATGGTTGATGATAATGGGGCCCTCAGCAAGCCATGCACTAGTCCAAAATGGCAGTCTTCATCACATAATTGGGGAGGTTATTCAGCACCGATAGAGCCATAGTTACTTGACCAGCTAGGGACAGTGAGCGAGCCTTCCATCCTGTGAGTTTCCGATCAATTTTCTCAATGACAAACTTGCAGGTATCCTTTGTAACCCGCCCATGGATGACAACCACTCCTAGATAGCGTCCAAGGTTGGGGGTTGATTTGATCCACAAGAGCTCGCTGATATGCTTCTTGTTAGTGTCCTTAGTATTCTTGGAGAAGAAGACACATGACTTGTATTTGTTCACACTCTCCCCTGAAGCCGCACAAAAGTCCCCCAGGAAATTCGAATGGCCTTCCCTTGGTTGGTATTAGCTTATGCAAACAATGCAAGATCGTTTGCAGAAAACAAATGAGGCAGTGGCAGATCATTCGTCGATAGCTTGATAGGTTTCCAATTATTCTAACAAATAGCATTCTTAATACAATGATTCAAACGTTTCACGCAAAGATTAAAGAGGTAAGGGGAGAGGGTGCATCCCTAAAGAAGACCTCTAGTTAGTTTAAAACTCTCTGTGCATCCTCCATTCCACATCACCTGCAAGTTAGCTAAAGTGACGCATGCAATGACCACTTTAACAAAATCAGCTGGCAGAGCTGATGCTTCAAGAGTTTCCGGGAGGAACTCCCAGTTCACCCTATCATAAGCTTTTGCAAGGTCAAATTTGAGAATCATTACCCCCTTAGTCCCTTTTCAAAGTGACATGGAATGGATGACTTCTTGGAGGATGATGATATTGTTCGCTATATGACGCTTGGGAACAAAACTTGTCTGGTTTGGATCCACTAGTGTGTCTTAATATGCTTGAGCCGTTCTGCAAGGCATTTGGAAATTGCTTTGTATCCTACATTACAAAGCCTGATATGTCTGAATTGAGCTATAGTAGTCGGAGACTCTTGTTTCGGAATCAGTACCATGAGGGTATCGTTGCAGTCTTGCAGATCTGAATTCTGTTAGGACTCTGAAACAGTTCAAATATGGTTAAAGAAATCAACCCCAATCTTACCCTAGTACTTTTGGTGGAAAATCGCATGAAGCCATCTTTTCTAGGGGTCTTGAGACTTCCCCTAGCCTTAACAATCCTCATAACTTCATCCAAGGTAGGGAGCTCTTTTTTTTTATTCCGATTAAATTGATCTTGTAATATATCATGTAAAGAATTATAGCTATATTTACTTAGAATATAGTTGCATATATGCTCTAAATTTCACTTACTTCAAAATCAAAATAACATATTGTCAATATTGATATACGGTGGTCTCAAATTTATATTGGATACCCTTAAACTTCCTTTATTATTATTATTATTATTATTATTATTATTATTATTATTATTATTATTATTATTATTGTTATTGCGACAACATCATGGGTTTATTGATTCATCATTGCCAATTTGAAAAAAATATTATTTATCTTTGAGGAAAACTGGTGATGCGTACAAAAGAGCCTTTGCAATCATCACCAGTTTTCCTGAAAGATAAATGACATTTTTTCAAATGGTAACTGCCAAATTGCGTACAAAAGAGCCTACTAGTTTTCCTCAAAAGAGCCTACTTTGCAATTTGGTAGTTGCCATTTGAAAAAACGTTATTTATCTTTGAGGAAAACGGGTGATGATTGCAAATGCTCTTTTGTACGCATCACTAGTTTTCCTCAAAGATAAATAATGTTTTTTCAAATTATTACATTTCTACTTATGGAACGTAAAAGTTGAATGGCAAGTGGTAACGGAGGCGCCATGCAGTATATATTTAACGAGTTTTCTTGTTTTTTTTTCTTACCTTATCCTTACTGACTTACAATATCTGCTCTCATTTATTACTCCATCAACTCATTACGTATGCCTCCTTGCAGTTGTAGATTTATGATTGGATTTAAAATATGCTCGTATTCCTCCTCGACTCTCTTCGCCAGATGACAATCGCACAAAGCCCCTTTTTTTAACATGTCCATAGGGAGCAGTTCTAACTTATAATTCATAACTTTGTGGTATACAACCATGCATAATTGGTCACATTAGCGTCACATCATCATTTAGGAATACGTTAGCGTGGTTACTCAATTTTGTGTAACCACAGTGTGGCTACTAAAATATGTACCAATCATGCTGTTTATTTCATTCAATTTTTATATTGACGTTGAAGATTAGATTAAAGGTAATTTTGAAAATGAATAAATTACTACTAGATTTCTATCCTTTTAAATATTAGGGTGTGCCTACGGTGACATGCATGTCACGGTGACTTGCACTTTCCGGTCGACCTCAGTTAGGATTAGGTCAACCTCATTTAGAATTCGGTCGACCTCATATAGGATATGGTCGACCTCATTTAGGATTCGGTCGACCTCATATAGGATTCGGTCGACCTCATATAGGATCAGGTTGACCTAATATGTTGTTTCAGTGTAAAAACAGTTTATGGTGCCTACTTTGGATATTCATATTACAATTGGCTAGATGGAAATTGAAGACTAATGACTTATTTTGAAGCTGGAGTGTCCCTCGACATATTGAAGTGATTGAGAGCTCGATAGGAAGTCCAGAAGACCATTTTTGAACCTCATCAAAAGGCTATGCCAAAACTGGGAAACTGCCTGGAAATGGCCAAGTCTGGAAACGTGTTTGTGAAGCCCTATTTTGGAGCTCAATTCGAGATGCATGAATGCGAGTCGAGTCTAGGAGCCTCTACCACGTTAAATTAGGTATGTTTTTATACAAATTCAAGGCATTAGATGAAAGATTGGATATATGTAAGACTTCAAACAAAAGGGTCGAAGTTGCTGCAAATGCTGTTTTTCTGGCAGACTTCGAGCACAAGCAAGCTACCAAAAAAACAGCCTTCGTAGCAACTTCGAGCCTTTTGTTTGAAGCCTTAAAGATATTCAATCTTTCATCCAATGCCTTGCCTTTGTATAAAAAAATACGTAATTTAACGTGGTAGAGGCCCCTGGAATTGACTCGCATCCATGTTTCTCAAATTGAGCTACAAAGTAGGCTTGACAAACACGTTGCCAGACTTAGCCATTTTCAGGCAGTTTCTCAGGTTTGGCATAGCCTTTTGGCCAGGTTCAAAAATGGTCTTCTGGACTTTCTATTGAGCTTCCAAATACTTTAATGTGTAGAGGGACACTTCAGCTTCAAAACAAGCCTTTAATATCCAATTTTCATTTAGCCAATTGTAAGATATGAATCTCCAAAGTAGACACCATGAAACTGTTTTTACATGAAACAACAGATTAGGTCGACCGAAAAGTGCATGTCACCGTAGCAAAGTCCTAAATATTAATTTTTATATATTATACTTAAACCCTAATGCAATCCCATTCTCCATAAGCCATCACTCCCTGCACCGCCGTTGCCGGCCACCCTCCTCCTCTCTCCTTCCTCCCTCACACCATCTCTCTCTCTCTCTCCCTCCCTCCAAGAGACAGTTGCGTGTAATCTCTTTCTATCTCCCTCAATATATTCATCGTATACCAGGAGAACATAAAAATCTAGATATGTTTTTTG